CTGGTCGCTCGCATGAAGAGCAAGGACTTCTTCAAGCCTATCTGGGGTGAGCTGGACAACATGCTCAAGGCCGAGCTGTGAGTGCTGCCTTTACCAGTTTGACCCCAACAGAGACTAATTCATCTGCTCTAGCTACACTGGCCGCAGCGCGGAGATCGTTGACAAGTACTGCGGTCCCGGGGGCCCCGTGGAGAAGAGACTGGCTCCCTACCAGAAGCACATCCAGGAATCTACCACTGCTCAGCTGAACGTTTAACCATGCAGCTTGAAGAGCTGTGGATGGATGAAGCCTTGATGGAGATATATCGGATTCTAGCATAGGGCAAAACGTCAAGAGAATGTGCCTCTTGTGTGGAGATGAAAAATAAAAAAGTATAGAATCATGTACATCCGAGGGCCAAACGTAGGGATAGACTTGAGACATGCGTAAAGACTGTTGGTTGCAATGGCCATTGCAGCATGGTTCATTGTTCGGGGTTGCCAGAGCCTCCTCGCCTGAGCGCTATGGCAACCCTTCTGGACTCATGTGCGATGATAGAGGATGGTAGCCAAGACTTGGCAGATGAACTCATGATACTCATGTCTGAGCACCAATTTAAGCTTGATCGTCGGGCTGCGCAAGCTTGAGCATCCGGGGAGTCTCATGACACACTGCACGCGAAAGGCACGAGATGGTGTGTGACAGCGGGGAGTTGATCAAGAGTGCGCGTACCCAAAAAGGCCTAGAACCAGCACTCAAAACCTCAAGAGACGGCCAAAAACAACCACATGACACGGAATTGGGGCATCAGAGAGACAAACAACTGTCAACAGGGCTGGAGAGACGGTGCCTTTAAGCTCTTCCCCGCGTTTTGGGGCGGTCAGACCACCCGTTGAACCGCGCGAGGCGACAGCAAGGGCTTGGCAACGTCAGCCAGGAGTGGCTTGGGCGTTACCGCGTAATTGTCTTGCAAGCGCAAACGGGCTGCTCCCATCGAATACCATGGATGGCCGGCTCGCTCAGAATACGAGACATGTTCGCTTGCGGTCGCGCTGTCAAGCAGATCGACAGGGGAGGTCATCCATCCCCAACCCCCTCGTCGCGACGTAGCCCTCGCTTCGTCCAGCAACCCTGAAGGGTAAATGCAGCATTCACAGCCTGGTCGGTTGTACCACGTTGGAATCTCAGGTGAGCCAGCCACAGCTCATCAGCCAAGATATCGGTCAGGATGAATGAGGAGAATATGCGCGCTGTGATTGTAATTTCCCCGCTCTTTAAGCACACCCAGATAAGCTCGCCCTGGTCAAAAGACGCCATCGCCAAGAGAAAAGCGGGCGATGGCTGCAACCTTGTCTTTTCGTCTTGGCTTTTGTTGTCTCATGTCCCTCTCTCTCACATGCGCGAGGCAGGGATCTGTTTGGGGGTTCTTTAAGGTAGAACCCCTTCTCCCCGCATGTCAGATTTATTTCTCCCCTCTCTACAGCTTGTTGAGGAGCTTCATTGTCGATTCTCACTTGCAATTGTTCTAGTAGTTATTGTGAGTAGCGAGCCTGCATCATGTCGGCCACGACAACCACCGCGGCGGCGGAGGCGACTGGGGCCAGAGCTCCAAAGCAGGGTGGTATCTTTGAGGGCCTGAACCCGACTGTCTTCAATCCAGCCGACCCAGTCATACTCTTCATCATCCAGGCCACCATCGTCATTGCTCTGACGAGGCTGCTCTACTGGCCTCTGAGCAAGATCAAGGAGCCGAGAGTCATTGCAGAAGTCATTACTGTAAGTTTAGAACCCACAGCACCCTAACATAGCTAACAATTGAAGGGCATCCTGCTTGGTCCGTCAGTCTTTGGTCGCGTCCCTGGCTTCACCGATGCCATCTTCCCCAAGGAGGGCATGGCGCCCTTCCGCCTGGCCGCTAATATCGGTCTCATTCTGTACCTATTCCTCGTCGGAATGGAGATCAACCTGACCTACCTGCTGCGCAATTGGCGTACCGCAGTTGGCGTCGCAACCCTGGACATGGCCATCCCCTTCGGCTGCGGTGTCGCCCTGGCTTACGGCTTGTACCACGAATTCGGCGACGATCCCGAGCTTGCGCCCATCAGCTTTGGCGTCTTTGCGCTCTTCATTGGCGTCGCCATTGCTATTACCGCTTTCCCTGTTCTTTGTCGCATTTTGACGGCTCTGAAGCTCCTCAACACCAACGTGGGCGTCATCGTCCTCACCTCTGGTATCATCAACGACGTTGTCGGCTGGGTCCTCCTCGCTCTCTGCGTTACCCTCGTCAATTCCGGCGCTGGAGTAACTGCAGTTTACATCCTCCTCGTCACCATCGGCTACTCCCTCTTCCTTGCCTACGCTGTTCGTCCATGTTTCATGTGGGTGCTTCGCAAGACACACAGCTTAGAGAATGGCCCTACTGAGGCTGTCGTCGCGTTGACTATCCTCATGGTTTTTGCTTCTGCCTTCTTCACCAGCGTCATCGGGGTTCACTCCATTTTTGGGGCCTTCATGGTCGGACTCATGTGTCCTCACGAGGGAGGTTTCGCCATCAAGCTCACTGAGAAGATTGAGGATCTCATCTCGACCCTCTTCGTCCCTCTCTTCTTTGCGCTTTCGGGTATTAACACTAACCTCTCGCTTCTCGACAGCGGTATTACCTGGGGCTATGTCGTCGCCGTCACGGTAACTGCCTTCTTCACCAAGCTCTTTGGCGGTACAATGGGCGCTCGATTGAACGGTCTGGTCTGGCGGGAATCCGTCACCATCGGAACGCTCATGTCTTGCAAGGGACTTGTCGAGCTGATTGTTCTCAACATTGGTCTGCAGGCAAAGATTCTGAGCACTAGGACTTTCACCATCTTTGTCGTCATGGCCCTTGTTACTACTTTCCTCACGACTCCCCTCGTTAGCTGGCTGTATCCGCCGTCTTACCAGCGCAAGTTGGAGCTGTGGAAGCAAGGCAAGATTGATTGGGATGGGAACCCTCTCAACGCGCCCGACACGGATGAGAGTGATGAGAGCGACAAGGATGTTGCCAATCGGGTACTTGTTTATCTGCGAACTGATGGATTGTCCAGTCTTCTCTCTACCGTGTCGCTATTTACCGCAGGCCATGCCAAGCGCCCGTCAATTGAAGGAGACTCACCAGCTCACGGTGAGAAGAGTGCTGTATCCGAAGGCCTCATGTCTGGCACGGATGCTCCCAAGCCCCTCCTTCGTATTCATGGATGCCGCCTTGTCGGGCTGACTGAGCGCAACTCTTCCGTTATGAAGGTTTCCGAAATTGAGGAATTTGCCAGCCATGACCCGATCATTAAGGCTTTCGGCACATCCGCCAATAACACAACGCGAGATGTCGTCGTATCTGGTCAAATCTCGGTTGTTCCCGAAAACACATTCGCAGACACTCTGGCGACTGAGGCTACTAAACTCAAGAGTGATCTCATCCTGGTTCCTTGGAGTGAGACCGGCACCATTTCCGAGCTTCCTTCTTTCTACAGCGCCTCGCGGGGAGATCCTCTCGCCAATGGAGATTTTACTCAGCTCATGGCCAACATCTTTGATCACGCGAAGCCCATAGCTGCTGTCGGTCTCTTCATTGACAGCACCCTTCTTGATCCCACCGACAGCGACGTGCGACCAACCCGAGTCTTGTCCAGGCAAATTTCCGGCATCAGCAAGTCCGATGTGCAAGATCCGACCGCCATCCGATTCCATTCTGCCGAAAGCCGTCGCAAGAAGTGCATTCGCGTTCTGTACACTGGTAGCGAGGATGATGTCTACGCTTTCCGACTTGCGTTGCAATTTGCCCAGAACGAGAACATTGACGTCGAGATTATTTCCCTGCCCGATAAGGACGCTTCCGAGGACCTGCATTTTAACCAGATCAAGTCCACCATCCCCGACTCCATCGTCGATCGCATCAACTTCACCGAGCTGTCGTCCGAGAGAACCGCTACCATCGCTTCAAGCCTCCTAAGCTCTCAACCAGAGGACAAGCAATCCACCATCTTCATCCTCGGTCGCTCAGTCGCAGCTCTGGGTGGCGATTCCTCTGGTTCTGGGTCGAGTAACATCCGTGGCACTCTTGGCTCTGTTCCCTCCAGCCTCGCCAACGAAATCAAGAGGACAGCTACTTCCAACGTGAGCCTTCTCATTGTGCAGGCAAAGCAGACCGCACCGGGGGGGACAGGGCTTAACAGGAAGCCTAGCACGGCCTCCCATGCTCACGCTCCCAATTGAGGCCGGACAAGTTGCGTTTACGAATCATGACTCCGTAACATTTTCACACAAGTGTCAGCATTCTTTGGGTCTATAGGATATCCGTATGTTTTTAGCTTGAGCAATACTCTTGCCTGTAGCTTTTATAAACTTGAAGCTCGATTGCAATGTACCCAAATTTACAAAGTGAAACCCCCAACAATGAAACATAAGATTCCCTAGCATATGTTCGAAGAAAACCAGGACATCGAATCAACCCAGCAGAGATAGCAGTATCATCAGCCGAAAGATCTGATTAGTGTGGTCTTCGATCATGTGCTTGATGAAACGCTCGGCCTCTCTGCAGAGCCTAAGTGAGAGCAACATAAATAGTTGAATATTATCTCTGTCAATACGAGAGTACTCTGAGAGTAGAATTATCTAAGTCCATTTTACCGCCGTGAATCCTGATGAGACCTGGCCTTTCACCTCTCAACCGAATCCCCACAGAAGTGCATTGCGAATTATACTTAATTTGCCAGAACGATGGCTGCAAGATGCTATACTGTTGATAGGTCCCAACTGCCACTGTCCCTGACCCACAAGCCGCTCAGGGTTACAGAGTAGACAACAACCATGATTGAGAAGATCAATACCCAAATGCGCTTTAAAGGCATACGGAGCCTCGATCGACACCACACATGGTCATCATATAGTGTTACAATCCTTCGTCGTGACTCGAGTAATCTAAACAGTATGTATTACATATGTTGTATATATGTACAATAACGTATTAATAGTCTAATATGCTGTTCATTCATGGCTCCGGAAACTCCTCTGGGACCTCTCTGTGAAATTCGCCTGTACGCCTTGTGCAGCAATGAAATATCCTCCTTGGCTTGGACACAAAGCCAAACTCGTCTCGGCCCGACAGTCTCCTCTGGCTATCGGTAGTCGATCTCTGATCCAGAGACTCGAGGTGGTACTGGCCGTCGCTAATAGTACTGGAAAATGTACCTTCTGATATCACACCGCAGTGTTTGTCTCGGGCGATCTTTCCGATGAGGTCGGCCATAGACATTTCGATGTTTAGTTTAACGGTGTATGCTAGTGGGTGGAACTGCATGTAACTAAGAGGTGTTAGCAACAAGCGGTCAGAGGCGAAGCCAGTGGCAATGACGTACACAAAGGTGTTTTTCAAACTCATCATGGTGATGATGAGGACGTCCATGCTGAGGGAGAAGCCGATGATGAACATGTTGAAGTGCGTCAACCTCTTGTACTTTGTGAGGCCATGGACGATGAGGTTGACGCGGACGACGTGGATAAAGTAGAGGTTGAGTGATGCGTCGACGAGTAGGTAGATGACTTTTTCGCATCGATCCCACCACTCGTTGATCCAGATGTATCGCTCGGATATCTGCAGTCGGGCGGGGATCCAGATGTTGTACACTGAGATGTTGACGGCCGTGATGAGGACGGCGACGCCTACCTTGAGGCGGTATGCTTTCCTCTTATCTGTGAGGAGGATGGAGCATCGGTTGACGATAATCTGCAAGAGGAACTGGACTTGCAGGGCCCATGTCGTAACTGAAGGGGATGTTAGGATGGATATGAATGGTAAGGGGACAACAACTTACGAATTGTGAAATAAAAAGCAAAGCTGCAGGGATGTCGGTCAGTGAGTGTCGGAGTAAAAGTGCAAGGCTTCTCACCTCGGGGGTATATAGCCAAGTAAATGCAGGAAGCAGATGACAGCAAAGATGAGGCACACCAAGAGCTCCAGCCATATCATCCAAACGTAGGCATTCTTCCAAACGCGCCTCCCATGGCGGCGGTAGACCTGCGTGGTCTGCTTGACGGCGGTCCAGGTCGTCAGCCAGCCGAACCCGATGGTGAAGCCCCAAGCGAGCGAAGCGATGACGAGGTCGGTCTCGGTTACTTCCTGGGCTTTGTAGTGGGGGGAAAGGAGAGTGATCATTGCATCTCGAGTGAAGTAAGAGATGGGATCATATCATGCGGGTTGCAGGTGTCCGGAACTTGTTTTCCATAATAATGGTACTCGATCGAGAAAAGAGGAAATGGGGAAAGGTAAGGGTTTGATGCAGATTTGTTTGGTGTCCGCCCCGGGGAAGCAGGGAGGGAGATGGGCCAAAGAAAAGCAAGCAAATGGCGAAATCGGGCGTCAGAGCAAGCCTCCTCCAGGGCTCACGCGGATCGATGCTCAAGGCAAGGTGTAGCGCTAGAGGCGCCGCGGAGAGGGGGGAGGGGGCTTGATGAGGAAGAGGGAGCGTCCAGCCTCATTATGCATGTCGCAGCACGGCAATTTCAGCGTTGCACAGTACGGCACTCATGTCGTCCCGAGGGGATTGGACGCCAGGAGGACAGCAGCGTCCAACGGGCAGAACCCTATTTGCAGTGACGCCCTCGACTAGACTAGCCCGTTGGCTCTCTCCGCGATGGAGATGCTGCCCACCGGCTCCCGGCTGCCGGCTCTTGTTGATGGGGCTGGATCTCGATTGGGCCCACGGCGGAGGGATGACCGTTTCGACCAAGAGCCCATTGAGAGGCTTCAGCCCAGGACTGCATTTCGCGGCCAGTGGCTGACCCTTTGAAGGCCTGGGCTGGCTGGGCTGGCAACCCCCCGGTCTGGAACTGGGTAACAACCGCACTACCGACTCGCGGATCGCCACGACCCCAGACGCCTCGTCAGAGTTTGCCGGGATGAGGGGGTCTTTTCCGGATCGTGAGGAGGCTAATGAGATGAGACAGAGGACCCATTTCACATGGGATCTGCGCGGGTCAAGGTTAGGGGAAGCTCACAAGTTGGCCGATCAAAAATGCACCAATGACGCCGACATTTGCATTTAATGGAGTCTTTTTTGCGACTATTCAACGATCGATTTAAACCAGCGGTCACTGGTTTTTTTTTTTTTGCTTCTGAGGGGAACCTCGGTGCAGGGAAGAGACACGATACGACGTATTCGACGCCAAAAAAGAAATTACAGCAGCTGATCGACGTGCGCCGTGTCTTGGAACGCCTGCAAAGCTTGTCTCCTCCCTTTCTTCTGAGGCGCTCTCTCGCTGCAGACGAGGCCTTTTAGGTGAGCGAGTCAAGCAAAACAATTGAGAGAGAGGCTATGGCTTGCCACAGAAAAATGCTCTGGATGATGCTTCTCCCGTATCCAAGACGTCGAGCCCACCATCATCTCCCTCTTGATCTGTTTGATTCGACAGGCACCAAACTTTGGGAGGTCATGGCCACGCGGTCGGACTCTTCCAGAAGGGATGACTTTTTTCTCACTCGACGACATTCCGCCACTTGATTACAGGGAGTGAGAGTCAGCGACGGAACCACCCGAGGAAATGTGCGACAAGTTTTGCGCCCTCAGCCTCAATCACATTCTCGAGCGATTGAAGTTATTCAGATCAAAGACAAAGCCATGATCAACTCGGTTCGTTCGCCGACCCGACGCTAAAGACGCACCTCGGATCGTCGGGTCCTCGGGGCCTTGTGCAAACTTCCTCGATATCCTTCTTACTAGTCTCATCACCGGACCGGGGAGCCCGCCTTCAGTAGGACAAATCGCGGATCACCCAGAGTCTTGTTTTTAAAGTATCGCTAGCTTCGGAGGGCGCATTCGTGCAATTTGCTGGTAAACCGGGGGTGAGCCGGTGAAACGCCAGCGTTTTTCCTTGGTGATACCGGGAGCTTGGGGTCGTGGGCCCCGGGACTTTGGTGAGATCAGGGGTGAAAGGCGGGGTAGGGTCTAGACCTTGAGTGGCTAGAGCTATCAATACCGAGTGTTGGTTCTGCTGGAGCTGTCCATGAGGGAATGCATGTTGAGTGAGTGCATGCTGTTCTCCAGATGGTGTCTTTGAAGAGGCTCTTGACGTCTCACAACATGATGCCTTTGTAGCACGATACCTCTGTAGCATGATGCCTGGGCCTCTGTAAGACAATGCCTGTACAACTGGAGCCGCTGACCGAGTTCTATTGGCCGTCAGCTTAGGCAGATGTCAACATGTCGCTGCCTAATAGCGCAGCACCAGATATCAACCCTGAGAATGAATTCAGTAGTCGTGATGATCACCATCTCACTCCTGTATCAAAACCTCATCACCACCAACACCACACTATGGGCTCCCCGCTACCTCCCCTTGTCGTGCCAGCTTCAGCCACACACACCCACACCGTCGTGTTTCTCCACGGCCGCGGCGACTCGGCACCCAAGTTTAGTAGCTCCCTCAGATACTCGACCGACTCGAGCAACCGGACCCTAGACCAGATCTTTCCCTCATTCCGATGGGTGTTTCCCCACTCTCCGATGACCTCCAACGAAGCATTCCCCCTCAACAGGATCAACCAGTGGTTTGACATCTGGAACGTACAAAACTTTGCCGAACGAGAAGAACTTCAGGCCGTTGGTTTGAGACAAAGCGTCCAGCGCATTCGTGACATCCTGGCCGACGAGGCTGCCCTCTTGGAAGGTCACTGGGACCGCATCGTGCTCGCCGGCATCAGTCAGGGTGCCGCGACAAGCGTTCATACCCTGCTGAATCTGGACATTCTCGGACCGATCAATGGCGAGGCCCAAAACCGACGACTCGGTGCCTTTTTAGGCTTTTCGTGCAGGATGCCTTTCCCAGGTCGTTCTCTGGCCGCCACCAGAAAGGTCCTCGATCTGGAGGGTTCGCCTAGTGATGCTAGCATACTCGAGAACACACCCGTGCTGCTGGAGCATTGCGTGAATGATCACGTCGTCTTGGTTGAGAATGGGAGGGTTTTGAGAGAGACTCTACGAGGATTTGGGGCTCAAGTGACGTGGAAGGAATATCCTGATGGTGAACATTGGTTCAATTCCCCAACTGGGATAGACGATGCCGTCGAGTTCCTGAAGCACGTTCTTGAGCTGCCTGATGTTGCCTAGTCAGGGGCCCCGTAGAGATATGCAAGATGGGTGCCGCTGCGGAAGGCGAGTGGCGAGGGTGAGATAAGGATGGATAGAAATAGATTTCACAAGCCGACACGTGTTTGAAGCATCATCAAGACGTACAGTACAGTATTGTGGGTGTTATGCAATGAATAGCCTACAACGAAATCCACGCAGTACTCTAGGATATGTGATATGTGTGAGATTTTGTCTGCTCTTCGTCCGTGCGAAGTCATAATGTATATACACCAAGTAATACGCCCTACCGAGTGATTCCCGCGCTCGATGATACTATTTCACCTATTCCGCAGCCTGCTGCCAACATTGCTACCAGAGCCCAAGCCTTGCTACCCCTCAGGCTCTTAAACGCAGTTGGTTCCACCGTGGATAAAGGTACCATCCGAGTTCTCGCATCCGCAGGTGCCGTCATTGGGGTCCTTGATACAGGTGGTACCAACGCCAGAGGACTCGCCGCTACCACTATGCACACTGTCAGCTTAGCCCCCAAACCCCTCACAAAGTTTGTACCTACGTCCAGAAAAAGGTCCAGTAATCCGCGTCCTCAGTCATCTGATCGCTGGTGGGCGAGGTGCACTGATACGCCTCGCAAGTTCCGTACGGGGCACCGTTGTTGTTATCGTACTGGTGATCGACACGGAAGATGGCAAACGTCTGCTGGCCCGAGACACGGGTGTTGTAGGCGCACTCGGCCGCCTGGATGGCGTTGGAGACCTTGGAGGCTACAATTTGACAGATCACATTACGTTAGTGTGCATGATGCGGGTGGGCTTGGTCGATAGATCTTGGATGGTACGTACGGGAGCAGCCTGGGTTTCGAGGGTACGCGCCCTTGGTGTTGCTAGTAGCCGGGTCCAGCGTCGCGCTAGCTGCGCCAGCGATGGCGAGGAGGGAAGTGATCGTGGCGAGGGGGAACATTTTGGACGAGTTTATCGCAACGACGCTAATCTATCAGGGAGACGTTTTTGAGTGTAGTTGTTGGTGATGCCGAGTTGATGAATTGAAGGCCGTCGTCAAGATTTATAGTCGCATTGCTATGTTGACACTCTCTATCCCTTTGTTTCAAGCAGATTAGACCAGTCTTTTCGAAACCCGTTCTAGTGGGTATTTCTTCGATATTGTATTCAATGCTTCTGTGGAGATGCTGCCCCTTGGTCAATTCCGTCTATAAATGGTAATCCTCCCGTGAAGAAACAGGGATGAATAGATTGTTTAAGTGGGCCGACGTCGACAAGAGATGAAGCAGGCGAACATTCTCCTTTCGTATATACAGGGCCTGGGCATGCACGGATCCTTCCGAGGTACGTAAGCAGCTATGAAACAACCAGCATCAACAGGTTGCGACTGGTGGATTTATTGAAAGCCTGCCGACGGCCCGTGGAAACATGTCATGGCGAGCCCGGAGGTTGTTTCATATTCTGTTGTTGTTTCTATTGAAGACCGCCAAGCCGGTTGACTTGGACAGAATACATAGTATCCATGGAGCCCCAGTCTCCATCACTGCTTCAAATTTAAGATCAACAAGTATCATGGGCCCGACATCCGAAGCCCCAATGAATGCTTATCGATAGAGTTGACCTGTGTTTACTCTTGATACTCCTAAAGGCCTTCCTTGTGTCATTGGAGCAGAGTTGCCGAATCTCAACTGAAGTTGCTCCTCTTGGATAACTGGGTTCGCTTGAGCTCCTGTCGTGGCCGCGTTATCATCGATTGACTCAACCCAACCCATCTTCTGGCGAGGGCCAAAGGTCTCGATGCCAGCAGAAGTGTTTTCAAGCCCTAGCTCGCCGACATGCTTGGGTGGTTCCGAGTTCAGTGTCAGTGCCACCAGCTCTGGTATGCTCTCCCAAGAGCTCGAGTCTTTCCCGAACCAGAGCAAGACAGCGACATGCACCAGGGCTATAATTACATGGATCAAAAGGGCGGCTATGCAAAAGAAGTGAAACCAACCAACTGCAGCCATTGCATATCCATTTAATGAAACGACCATCCTGACTTCGCTCTGCCCAGTAATGTTTGGTGGATGGAAAGGATCCAAAGGATCCCCAGACCTAACCAGCTCCTTGGTCTTTGACCCCATGCCCGACAAGCTTTCCATGGTGATGGGTTCAATCCTACCATGGAGCGGTAGTATCCCACCAACCTCTATTCGGTGAGAATTGGGATTTACACCGCAGAAGGCGCGAGACATTCCTTCAACGAAAAATAGGCCAAGGGCAAATTCAGCCTCCCACAGAGTATCTTCCAGTCTTTGGTCTAAGCCGGCATGGGGGAAGATGGGACTGATGATCTTTTCTATTGCTGTCTGGTTTAAGGACGAGTCTCCATCGCCGTCGGCCTGGCGTCCATCAGACTCTGTTGGGTATAATTGATTGAACCAAGATGTCGTGATGTTCGCGCGTCGCCAGGTCCCATCTTTGGGCGGAGAAAACGTAGTAGAGCCAATAAAGTCTACTCCAAGGACACCTTCGACTGTTGCACTTCGAGGGTAGTATATGGGAACCGCTTGAAGATTTGTTGTTGTCTCTTTAATAAAAGACTTGCCCTTGGCCCACCGGCCGTCAATAGAGCAGGCCTGAGCTGGGAGAACACCGTTCTGTCGCTCTGGAGCTTTCAGGTTGATGAGAATAATGCCGAAAGATGCCGACTGTCCGGAAAGTGGAGGAAGTTGGAGGCCTGTTGTCAGAACTCGAGAACTATCTGGCCCGGGATTTGCTTTCAGTTTCCTTTGAATAGTATCCGTGACATTGAGTACCTGAGAGCGGTGGGGCGAATTACCAGTCTCGCTGTACTCGGGCAGAACTGGAAACTTCAGAGAGACTGTACCAGATGGGTCGATATCTGACATGGGGGAGCATTTCACGCGAACAGATGGAAGCTCGGTTTCAACTGTCGCGGTTTTCACAGCAGCTTTGCTTAACCTCTTGCAGCCAGGGAATTTCCACCAGGATTCTGTCAGCGCAAGATAGTGCAACGCACTGGTCCAGACGAGAAAGATATCTTGCTGTTGAATGCTCAAGGCGTTGTGAGAAGTGAAAACCCAAGTATCCTCTTCGAGACTGTTCTGATTCTGATCGCGCTGTCGAGTTCGGGCATATATCTTTCGGGAAGGCCATCCTGGCGTATCGAACGTTGACGTATCGAACGTTGGCGTATCGAACGTTGGCGTATCGAACGTTGGCGTATCGAACGATGGGACGGCATAGCGAGCATTGCGTGACCATTCCACCAAGTTTTCATGAATAACTTCCCGGCCTTGAGCTAGACAGTAATCAAAGGTAGTGTAGTCAATAGTTGTTGGTAGGATCGAGATGAGCTTGGATGGCCAGATCTGGTCTTTGGTGCCTAATTACGGGTGAGCTTTTGGTTTATTACTTGAATATTAACCAACATACCATCAAACCACAGGCGAGCTCCTCCGGCTTTCCAATCTAATTCTCGAGGGATCATCAGAACCGCACTCGCTGGGCCGACAATAGGGGCTATCAGTCCTGAAACGACGACCAAAGTAATGAAACGAGCCTTCCGGAGCCAGGAAGGATGACAGTAAGAAATTCCGGCCCAGAAGTCCCATGTAGCAAAGAAGCTACGATGGTGATTGGATATGTTGATACTGGGAGTGATTTTTGAAAAGAACATACCTTGGGTTGCTAAAAGAAAATCCAGCTCCCATGAGTCCCAGAGGAAGTCCAGCGCCAGAAACCAGTTCGTGCCGTACAACATGAAAAATAACCACCCCTAGGCTAGCAACGATAAATAGTTCATGTACCTTGGCTGCTACCTGTAAGACTCCGAGCTTAATCCCATCCTGGTCACCTGGACCCTCAAGTTCGCGACCGATAAAGAAGCGCAGAAAATTAAGAGCGATGAGGGTAATGGTGGCCAAGCCAGGAATCAAGTGGACAAGGCAACAGAGGAACGCAGATTCACGAGATGACTCGAAGAGTGGCTTGGGATGTACGGGGCCTTTTCGAATAGCACGGAAGGCATCTTTCTGTAGACGAAAGAGAGAGCCGAGTTTGCTGAAAAAAGATTTGAGGGCGTTGAACAGGGACTTGAGCGCCCTGAAGAGAAGCCTGAACGGCGCCGCCAAGGCAGTAAATAGGATTTTGGCAAAGTGGAGAGCAACCATGCTGAGTGAGCCTTTGAGACGACTGACCTAGAACGATGGGCTTGAATACTGATATTAAGCCGTTCCACCCAGGAGGGAGATTGGGATGCCTTTTACAGATGGGCAAAGCCCGTGGTTTAATGAAGGCCGACAAGCGGAAAGAATTGCTTTTGGGGCCCATTAACTGGCGTGCCAAGTCAGAGCTGAACTTTAGCGATGGATGATTTGCCCAGAGCCTGATGTTGGGATGCTGCTGTGGCCACTCGCAGGTCCAAATGTCTCAATAAGCGAGCAGGCTGACGCTTAAACCGCCGACTGACTCTCACCAAGAGCACCGAGGAAGTGTGCTGCAGTCTCTCTGCCCGTACCCTCCCGTGTCAGACCACACTCCGGGCTCCTCAGCCTGAGGTCATGTCCAGCTTGGCTTAGAGCGGCAAGAGTTTGGCTCTAGAAGCGGAGATGGGTTTTGACATGGTTGAGTTTGTCTCCCAATTAAGTGGTAATTCGTATCAATTAAAAAAGCGTCAAAGATCTGAAGCGGAGATGAGCGCAACAATGAGTCACGATAACAAGATGACAAAACCCGCCAGCCAACGACCTATCAATCTAATTCTCCTCACTGGTATACCGAAGGCCATTCGATCTAATATAAGCACCCACGTCTATCACGATAAAAGCTCGTCCAAGCGGTTCTATCGTGCAGCCTGCACGAATGGTCGTTGGCGCAAAGCAAACACAGTTGAGTCGATCGTGGCCCATAAAGAGGTCTTGGAGCATAAACCCAACTTGATTCATATGCCTGAAGTGATCTTCTCGAGTGGCCGAAAAGACAAGGATGGTGCTGTCGAGGAACAGGCAGAAAGAGTGGTCTACCGAGGGTGTGACCTCAATTGCCTCTCTGATCTCCTTGGCTGAGTGCCACGTATTGAACCGCCCAAAAAAGTTGGCATTTTCGAAATTTTCAAAGACGGCTACCGTATTTGGCATCCAAATTCCCATATATGGCAGCAAATCCCACCAAATGATGTCAAAATGGGCCACTTCGGAATCTTCCATCGTTGAAGCCATGATGAAGGGGTAGCTACCCTCGGATTAGCGAGTGTGATGGGATAAAGCGGATTCGGGTACATGCTCTTATATCTGATGAAACTTGACTGGTTGATATGATTGTCTGGCGCAGAGACGGTTATTGGAGCTGGCGAAGAAAAGGAGTAAAGACTTGATGGATTTCTTGATATTAGAAAAGGCTCTCTTTCTCTGTGTGTGTCTTTGTATGTTGTGCTCAAATTGAACATCTATCAGTACTCAGTAGGCGTTCTGGACACTTCCCATGGGGGGCCGGGGTTCAACTACAACAAAGAATACATTAGCATTGGGATCGTGTGTGTCCTGTTACGAAAACCTTGATCATCATGCTTCCTCTTCCCGAGAGGCTGTTGTGATGGACACCGCGTCCGGGCGTCCAAGCAATCAATCTCCCGCGGGCCTTGATAATACTTAACATTGGTCAGATGATTCGTGTGGGCGTACTTCGGTTGGACGAGGACGGCATATTGCAGATTTAGACGAGCTGCGATGGTGCACCATAGTAGGTTTATAGGTAGCATTCTAATTTATGACCCTTTTCCAGGTGGCTCATACTTCAGATCCAAGGAAGTTATCACAGTTTCAAAATGAAGTATCGGCAGGAAGAATTTCATGAGTAAGGAAAAGGTTAGGATTCGGGCCTCAGGTGTAAAACTTAGTCACGATGATCAGAACATCCTTCTTCAGTCCCCGCTCTTTGAGATTCTCACCAAACTTTGGTGTCGGTACAAGTGACAAGTTTAGGTCCTCCCTGATCTCAGTAGGTAGCAATAGGAGGAAACTTGATGCTCTTTTAGATGCGCTTCTCAATCTCGGCCATCAACTTCTTTTCCCTTTCCTTGACATCTTCAGACACGGTATCCCCAAAGTCCTCCATCTCGGCAATCCGCCTGACCACAACCTCTCCCTCCTTGAATGGAATCTTCTTGGCCCAACCCAAAGCTTCCTCAACATCCTTAGTCTTCAAGATCCACCAACCACAAACATGGGCTTCCTTTTCAACGTCAAAAGGCCCCTTGGTGGCTTGTGCAGGGCCATCCGAGGAGTAGGTGATGCGATAGCTGTCAACGTCGGTTGGACGGAGGCCCTCACCACTGAGGAGGACGCCAGCAGCGTGGAGCTGCTCGTTGAAGGTGGTCATTTCCTCGAAAATCTCGGGGGTGGTTGCATCGGGGTTTTCGGCCTCGGGTGAGGCTTTGATGAGGAGCATGTAGCGAGGCATGATGGTGGCTGGCAGAAATTAAGTTGATGGCGTTGGTGGACTGGTAGACAACAAGCTTGTGTTGAGTATGTAGTGAAGAGGTGATGCCAATTGTTCACAGGACAATGCTGTCCTTTTATCTTGCAACATCGCCTGATATTGTGAATGAATGCCAAGCCTCAAGGCGCTTTCGTATTGATCGGATTCGTCGTCCAAGTCAGCTCAAGCAACCGGCGATCAGTGGCGCTGGTAGAACCAATAGCTGAAACTGAGTGACCACTGTTGCCTATCGCCAAGTCTCGCAAACACAAGAACTGCATCAAAACCGGTGCATTGATTACCCGGGACGTGAGTACCGAGTCCCGGAAACCTTGTATCTGCACGATGCTACAAGTTTCAAGGACGCTTTCTTGGTGGTCCTGGATGTCAAAGGGTTGCTAGAAAAGTATTTATTGGTAGATATCTAAGGTTTTAGGCAACCACGGCAATTGGCCAACCAAGTTCAATCATCAGAACTTGGCAGACGACGATAGCAAAAAGTAACCAATGCTTCAGACAGCAAAAGAAAAGAGTCATCTCCCCACCCAGAATCGAACTAGGGACCTTTCGGTGGCAATTTTCCAGTTACAGCCGAACGTGATAAACCAACTACACCATGCGGAGAAGATATTTGATTGGAAGATTATCTTCAACATGGTGGTTATGAAGGACACTTCAACACTTGGCGATCAACAAAGAAGCTAAGCCCTGTGGTAGTGTGTCTCAAGGTGGGTGCTTGCAGGTGTCCCAATTGATTGGGATTAATGAGTTAACCGAAGCCTCGGAACTTCCGGGGTTGCAATTGCTACTCAATGCCCATAAACGGCAACACGGCATCTGTTCGTTCGATGATATCCAGCAAGGATAACAAGCTCTCCACCCAAAGACAAGGTCTCGGCTATACAAGACGCTCGACTCTAATTCGGACCTGCCCCATTAGGAAAATCACGACTTGAAGACGGCACAATTTGCCATTGTTTCACAGCATCAAAAGTGGTCCTATTACTCTCTTAACCTCGGGCAACTCAACTTTTCGCTGCGTATAACACTGGGTTTTATCGTTGACATCATTCTGTCCCCGATGACGTGCTTGGGTTGCAGAGCTGACTCTGCCGCTTTGTGGCCCGACCTCTGCTCTCGTGTGGGTTTGTCCATCCCAGCTTAGGAAACTGAAACGAGCATCTTTTGATTGCAACTCCACGTTGCGTGAGACATGTTCGCATCAGAGATTGTTGGATGATTTTTACCTGGTGTTGGTTCTGTAGGGATATAAATATGGAGGCTCATCCTGGTTGTTTTTTCAAGTAGCAGCCTGAAGAGCCGCATTCATTTCACATCCAGCCATGGCTGACATTTCGGAGAAAAGCGACATCGAGTCGCCTTCGAAAGGAGCAGAAAAGACTCCTTCTATCGTTAATTCTACCAAGAGTCAGCCTGTTGAGCCTCCTGCCCCCACAAAACCCGAATATGTGCACAAAACCGGTGCAGATGCAGCCCTCGACCTGCTCAACGAGACGGGTGGTATCAGCGAACCATTCGACCCTCAGAAAAACAAACGACTCCAACGCCGCATCGACACCCACATCATGCCTCTGATTTGCATTGTATACTTCCTACAGTACATCGACAAAACGGCAATCTCGTACGCCAGTGTCACAGGCATCATCCAATCGACTGGACTGGTTGGCAATGAATTCAACTGGGTTGCCTCCATCTTCTTCTTTGGTCAGCTCGCCTTTGAATTTCCAACTATCCGACTTTTGCAGTTATTCCCGCTTGCCAAATACGTCTCTGTCAACGTCACTCTATGGGGCGCTACGCTTGCATGCATGGCCGCTTGTACCAACTACTCGGGACTCTTGGCGTGCCGCTTCTTTCTTGGCGTCTTGGAGGCTGCCATTGTTCCCGCGTGGGTCCTCTTCACCTCTCAGTGGTACAACAAGGATGAGCAGGCGTTTCGTGTTGGTATTTGGTTCTCGGTTTGCGGCATGGCACAGATGTTTGGTGGCTACTTTGCATATGGTGTCGCTACCCATGTTGGCAAAGATCCTGATGCTGCCCTCAAGGGCTGGCAGATCATTTTTCTGTTCCTTGGTCTTCTTACGGGTTGCGTGGGACTGTCGTTTTGGTTCATCATGCCAGACTCTCCGGCCGTCGCTGGGTTCTTGTCAAAGGAGGAAAAGGCTCTCCATCTACAGAGAATCCGTGGTAATGAGCAAGGAATCGGATCTCAGACGTTCAAATGGGGCCACGTTAGGGAAGCCTTGACAGACTCCATGACCTGGCTCTATGCTTTTTGGGTATTTGCCGCCAACATCCCCAACTCCATCGCGACAAGTTTTGGAAATATTCTGGTCAAGGGTATGGGTTACACAAGCGAGGAGTCTCTTTTGCTGGTCACGCCTCTTGGCGCTTGGGAGATTGTCTTTTTGATCGGCTTGACCTATGCGGCCATGAAGACGAGACAACGTCTGTACTTTTGCATCCTTGGTCATATTCCTGCAATTATCGGCGCCATCCTCATGGCAACTACGGAAAAGGTTCCCGCCCTTATCGGATACTACACAAGTGGAGGAATTCCCATCGGTTGGACGACGATTCTTGGCCTTCAGAGTTCTAATGTTGCTGGCTCTACAAAGAAGATCACCGTATCTTGCATCGGAACCATTGCCTATACGGTCGGCAACATCATCTCACCACACACTTTCCAAGCTCGGGATGGCCCGAGATATCTTCCTGCAAAGATTTCCATCTGCATCATCTACTTCCTATGCACTGTTGATCTGTTTGTCATGCGATGGGTCTTCCAGAGGCGAAATAGGCTGAGGGATGAGGCCAAGGCTGCACAGGGATCTGAGTACCAGGTCGAAGATAACCACGAGTTCCTTGACTTGACAGACCTGGAGAATAAGGAGTTCCGCTACGAGCTGTAGTCAGCGAAGGCGGATGATAAAAGCATCATCTGAAAACAGGAGGGTATGAACAAGGCAGTGGACACGAGCTGGTAATCCTTGAATAAACAAGATATTCTTGACCATTCATCACCATCGTAAATTGTCTTCTTGAATTCACCAAGACCTCGACGTCGGATCGTGGCTGCGATTGCCTGTGTCGACTAACTTGGTCGTCTCAGCCATGCATGTGGGCTTGACTTGCAGAATAGAACCCTTTCCATCCGGATTGGTTCTAATAGTTAGATATTTTCTGATTTCTACCCTGAAGACAACGGATACGTGCCAACCACTTCCGGGCTCTGCTTTCTCTCTGCTGCCGGCCGTGAACTCTGTACGCAAGAGCAGTAAGAACGTAGACTTGAGTGCGACTCTTTGATAGCAACCATGCATGCATTGAGGTTCATTGACGTCAGTGGCTTGTCATATCTAGACTGTCAAGGCTTATCAATCATCTTAGCTCCTCTCTCAATAACGTCTGCAATGCGGAGACAACTTCTTGCCCAGAAAACAACGCAAACAGGTCTGAACACTCCCTCAGACAGTTAACAATAGAGACCAATCTCACAATGGACTCCACGACCCGCGTCATCCAAGCCATCGGGCTCACTTCGTCCATCTTCCTGGCTGGCGCCAACATCGGTGCTTCGCATCTCACTGTGCCGCTTCTCTACCAACAGCCCATCTCTATCAACACAGCCTTCTTCAAGGACTTCTACATCCGAGGCGCCGTAACCTTGGTTCCGCTTTCCATTGTATCGGCTTCAGCCTCGGCATTTGCCGCATACCTCGTCCCTTCTCAACGCACGATTTGGGTCGCTGCCGCTGTGACGACAATCTCCCAGATACCCTGGACTGGGCTCGTGATGATGGGTACCAACAACCGACTGAATGCCATTGCGGCCAGCAAGGTTGAGCTGGAAAAGGCAAGCAAAGAGGAGGTAGTGGACTTGTTGAAGCGTTGGCGATGGATGAATATTGTGCGAGGGTCTCTGGCTCTTGTGGGAGGACTGACGGCTGTCTGGGCTGCGATGAGTGAATAATCAGTTGCCGTCGGGGTAAGCTCTTTATCGAATGGAACATTCTTGCTAAAAATGTGCAAGCTTCGGTTTCAGTTAATGTCACAGGCGATGTGGATTGTGGCCGAGGGTGAGACAAGGACATATCCCTCCCAATGATTCAATTTCAAGTTTGGCAATGTCTGCTTCATCGTTTCCTTTCAGAGCTGGGATTAATTAGTGATGGCGGAGACCAGAGTATAACAAGAATGGTTGTTTGAAACTATCTAATAAGAAGGGATATCTCGAGAATTTGAGATTTTTGCGAATGATAGCTAGCCTATTCCATCAACTCCATGCTTTATCAATTCGCGCCAGTGTCCAGAGAAAGTCACCTTGGATATACTGCACCTGTGCTATTTACTGAGAAGGACGACTTATGGTGCCTCGTGAAGGCCACCAGGACCCCGAGCATACTCGGTTTGACCTGGGTTCCAAGACTGGCCAGAAAGTTCCGTCGGGGCCTGCGGTGGCTTGTAATAGTCTGTAGCGCCTGCTTGCGGTTGAGGCTGGGTCTGAGGTTTCTCTTGTTCCACAGCAGCGGCGGCAGTAGTTGAGGGCCCCTTGCGGAAACGCCTCCATAAGAGAAAGCCCACACCGCCCAAGGCCAAGATACCTCCGATGGTGGCTCCGACAGCGATGCCCGCGACGGCGCCTGTAGATAGGCTCGAGCTGTCATTGGTAGAAGTCTCGGTCGGGTCTGAGGTAGGTTCGTCGGTAGATGAAGTGGTGGAGCTTGTAGGACTCGCCCCGCTGGTATGTGTTTGTGTTCCGGTCGTCGTCGATGGCTCATCATTGGGTATGGTAACGTTGAAGGCTTGCGAGTTGGCGACGGCGTCGGTGGTTCCACCGGCAGCATAGAGTGTCCAGTGAAAGACAGCATCCTCTCCCTTCTTGGCGTCGGTGGAGAAGCCATCGAATCCGACCTTCCAGATATAGCTCGTCGACGTGGTGTTTTCTGTTGTGATCCAGTCAGCCTGGAGATAAGATATAGGCTTCATCATCACTCACCTCTGTATTGGAAGAAAAACTGTGTGCCGCCGCCGGCAGGAGGATAATCCTGCCATAGTAAAAGATTTGTCTCGTCAAGGTCCGTCTCCCATTCCACGTTCATGCTCTCTCCCACATCGAAGCCCGGATTGTTTCGCCAGCTGTCTGATCCGGCTGATCCGGGCGTGACGAACTGACTATCGCCCAGAACCTTGGCAGCAAAGCTGCTCAAGAGTATTGTGAATGGCAAAAGAGAATGCATCGTGTCGAGTTGACGTGCCACACAGGCGTGAAGGACCGGTCCCTGTTAGACCTGTGATGATGACAGAAGGCCGTCAAAGAGACTTGAAAGTCATCACAGGCAGCTTAATTCGGACATAAGAAAGGAGAGAAAACACAGGCAACAGGAGGTAGAAATGAAGATCGAAACATGGCTGTCACGCTTCCTCGGCACCGCTGTTCCATGTAGATACCATGCTAGCTCAGCCCCCGGTAAGGCGCAGAGCCGGCTCTTAGTGGGATGTGAGATTTTGGCGGCCCAGCGTGAAAAAGAGTCCAGTAACAGCCTCGAGATTGGTTACAGGGGCCCGCTTCCATGAATCAGGATTCACCTGGCGAGACGTTGCTTCTGGAAATGTGAGGTGTGTGGCGCCTTGTAGGGACGATCATGCAACCAGCCGCGACGAGAAAAGAAGCAAAAGTGGGCTGGGGGCCTGCTAGTTTGACAGGGGACTAATCGCTGATTTGTAAGGTCAGGGCAGAAGGCGGCACTTGACACGGGGTTCTGACCTCAAGTGTTGTTGAACTGTTCGAGGTTGACGCCCAGGATAACGAGTGGATGAACGTGTCGACCTTTGGCTTTTGCTCATATAACCAAGTACTGAATCTTCTATAGCAGTCGAGTTCATGGAGATCTCGGTAATTTCACCGACCGCTCTGTTGTTTTTCGGCATATTGGTCTTTAGTTCGGCGAAGCTAGTGAGATTGGATGGGATGATCGACACTCACGCGAGCAAGAACGTTGAATAAGGTCCCTGCGCAGCCACATCGATGCTTCGCTTTCTTGGCCAGCGGGTAAGGCGCCGAAGTGATCCACCCGTATTCTAGCTGAAGCAGTTCAAGGCCAGGGGGGCTGGAGTGTGTCCACCTGCGAGGCTGATTTTGGGCTGATTCTTATCATTTTGGCTGCGATAAGCATCTAGTTAAGTATCAGTCGCATTAGGAGTGAGAAAGAAAAGGTCCTCGGCTGAAAATTGGCAATAAAACTGTGGCTGTGGAAGCATGAAGCTGCTGGTCTGGCTGGCTTTTACGATGGGGTCACATTAACTCCATCCATGCATAGCCCCCAAGAAAGAATTGAAGGGGTGAGCGCTAATTCCTTTCGTATACATGAGCCAATGAAAATCGCAAACTGAAACTACTTGTGATGTGGAAACTGATCCTCCCGCGCGAAATTGTCATCAAAGCTATACCACCCAAGGTTTAACTCTTACAGACGTGAGTTGAACTTGATGCTTCCTGTTGCGCCAGATGATGCTTCTTCACCCAGAAGCTCACGAGCAATGGCTCTTCCGGCTGCACGACCTGAAAAGATGCATCCGCCGACAAATGTTCCTTCGAGAGAACTGTATCCGTGAACACCGCCACCGCCGAAGCCTGCTACTTCTCCAGCAGCGTACAAACCTGGGAATGGGCTTCCGTCTTCTCTCATGACATTGCTGTCAAGATTTGTCTCGATGCCACCGAGAGTCTTGCGGGTAAGAAGGTTCATTTGAACAGCAATCAAAGGACCATGAGCCTTGTCGAGGAGACGATGCGGAGGAGCGACTCGGCTTCGTTTATCTGGCCAGTAAGTCCTTGCGTTATGGACGAGCATTGCTTGTCCGTCCTTAGTGTAAGGATTGTTAAACTGGTCATCTCGGGCTTGAACCACCTCTTTGACATCATCATAGTTGAGCAACGGGCCGTTACGCGCCTTTGCAAGTTCGTTCATGCCGGCGACAAGATCCTCGAGATTTTCACGGACGACAAAGTCTGCGCCGTGTTTCTGAAAGTTTTGGACAGGAACGGTGCCCTTCTTTCCAAAGACTCGAGTGAGAAGCAGCCAGAGACTCTTTCCCGTGATGTCAGGGTTCTGCTCTGATCCAGAGAGTGCAAATTCTCGGGCAATGATTGATTGATCGAGGATGAACCAGGTATAGTCGTACCCAGTGCTGCAGATATACTTCAGAGTCGCCAGAGTATCCGAGCCAGGGTAAAGAAACGGCGGCAACCGTTTACCCGTGGCATCGAGCCAGAGAGAAGACGGCGCAGGGAGGACTCGAATACCATGATTCGGCCAGATGGGATTCCAATTCTGAAGTCCCTCTGTGTAATGCCACATCCGATCACGGTTGATGACATGAGCTCCAGCTTCCTCTGCAATGCCAATCATGCGTCCATCGACATGCGCAGGAACGCCGACGACAAAGTTCTCTGGGACTTTGGGGCCCAGTCTGTCGACGGGCCAAGCTGCCTTGACGGCTTCGACGTTTCCTCCAATGCCGCCTGAGGAAACGATGACGGCCGAGCCGCGAATTTCAAACTTGTCCTTTTCAACTCGAGAGGACTTGACACCACGAGGGGAGTCGTCATCCTCGAGAATCCGGCCTCTGACTCCGACTGCTCGTCCAGATTCGTCAATGATCAGCTCGTCAACGGCGTGTCTGAACTTGAAGCTGACGATGCCCTTCTCTGCTGCCTTCTTGACCGGCTCTGCAAAGACTCTTACAACTTCCGGTCCTGTTCCCCAGGTGATGTGAAATCTGGGAACTGAATTTCCATGTCCGTTCGCAGTTCCATCGCCTCGCTCAGCCCAACCAACATTGACCAAGAAGCCAAGCCCTCGATCCTTGACATAATTCTCCATCTCGTCGGTCGCAAAGTCGACAAAAGCCTTGGCCCACTGTCGCGGCCAGTGATCGTCCTTTTCCCGATCGAAGCGAGCCGATCCCATCCAGTCACGCATCGCCAATTCCCTCGAGTCTTTAATTCCCATCCTGCGTTGTTCGGTCGAATCAACCACAAAGATGCCGCCGAGGGACCAGAATGCCTGTCCGCCAAGGTTGTGCTCATTTTCCTGGTCGACGAGAAGGACGGGGACTTTGCGTTCCGACAGCTCAAAGGCGGCGACGAGGCCGGCGAGACCAGCGCCGACGATAATGACGGGTTGTTTTTCATCAGGTGAAGCCATTGTGAATGTTGATTGTGTGTAAGAAGCAAGAAGTTTGGCTGGGGATGAAACTCATATCCGAGAACGCGGGGTCTTGAAGTGAGATGCCGAGGCTCCCGTCAGTTGCAAGGGCGTCATCAAAGATATTGCATATGCGCCAAGCCGCTATTGGTGGAATCCCAGTCGTCAGCGGCAACGAGCATCATGAGAAAAACATCACCAGAAAATGTCATCAGTTGCTTGTGGTTTACTTGTTTAAACAGGTTCAACGCCGTTATTACCAACTACCTAGGTATCAAGATTCATTACCAAAACATTCATTCACGTTTACTATTCACCACCCTTCTTTGCCTCGTCTAACTTTGTCTTCTTTTCTTCCTCCGTCAACTTGTTGTACTCGGCTACGTTCTCATCCCAGAGACGCACACACTCGGCGTTCCAGTTGCAGTCCTCGACCTGTCCATACACTGGATGGCTGTATCGAGGATGCTTGCTGGGCCAGTTGGATGCATGGTAGTGATGCTTGACGAGAGCTCCACGCGAATCATGATTGCCTGAATCAGAGTGTCCCTGTCCGGCGCAGAACGCTTCCACGTCGAGCACCAGCACGCGGCCAACAATCTTGGACTCATCCATGTTATGGAACATGTCCCAGGTAACCTTTGGTCCACCCGACCTTCTTTGGTTCATCTGCTCAAGTAGGGCCTTGGTGAAAGCCGAGGGCCCTGTACCGCTGATGACCTGGTCAAAGTCGAGCTGGACTTCTCCAAGTGGAACCTTTTGCTCCTTGGTGACATTCTTGAGCCATGCCATGATGTTCTCAATCAACTTGAGCATCACGGGCTGATGAGGCTTCGAGATGATGGTCCACTGACAAAAGGATTTTGACTTTTTGCCAAGAATTGGATGATCACTGAACTCGGGTTGGTCAATCTCAACACCAACAATCATGTCGATATCCTTGTCGTCGTATCGCTCGGGGATGAAGCGATTCACAGGTCGTAGAGCCTCGACGTCAATGTCTGCGTACACTCCACCTTGAGCATACATGACCATGTACCGCAAGAGATCAGCCTTGATGATGTGAAGGTTGATGCTGCGGTAAAACTTGACAATGTCTGGTCGGTTGAGGCCATTGGGCCCAAAGTGCTCCTCCACGAATGCCATCTCGTTGGCATCTGTCAAAACCTCGTATCGCATGCCGGGATTCTTGGCTACCCACGTCCGTGAGGTGACGAGATCCCGGTCCTCAAAGTTGAGAGGGTCTAGCTTCCATGTCTGCCAAATCTTTTGTGGGAATGAGCTGCCACGGCTGGGCGGTGTGGGATGATCACCCTCTCTCCAGATGAGATCAAGGGGACTCGGGATGGCATAAAAGACGTCGAAATTGAGGATGATGAGGAGTAGGCAGACGCATCCTATGTATAACGGCAGACACCTTTGCATCTGTGCTGGCACCTTGTTCCTGAACTTTGCCGTCGAGGCCGCCAGGGTTGGCGAGCCAAGAGGGGAGCCCATCTTTTCGATCTCGCGGGTGTTGATGCTGTCGTACTTTTTGGTCACGGTCCACTCGACGGTAGAGGGTGGAATGCGAAGACTGGTTGGGAGGTTCCGTCGAGGGCCACTCGCCATGACCAACCGTTGGACTTGTCCAGAAGAGAAGAGAGAAGACAATGCAAGTTTTACACTTGACTCGTTCTTGGTAGGCTTGGAAGTCGACTGGGAGCTTAATTGATGGGTAGAGGAACTAAATGAGTACCAAGAGAAGCTGACCCATTTCCCCACGAGCTGCCTTATCAATAACTACCGGGGCACGCACGGGGTGGATTCAACCTGAAATCGGCATCGCCACGGGCCCGCATCACATCACAGCGGAGAAATGGGGCAAGGGTTAGGTTGAACAAAGACCCATGTGATGGCAACGTTTCTCTGGGCAGGGGTATTATTAGCTCAACACAAGGACAACTTCCGAGAAGGGAATCTGCTCCGTGCCTGGCGGATCGTGGAGTGTGGGCGAGCGAGCGGCGAGTCTGATCTTTCCGAGCTGATGATGCATGGCGGAGGGGTTTGTTGGCCAACGGGAGGGCCGGGATGACGAATCTCGTAATGTGGGAGGAGATTTGATCTTGAGAGATTTGATCATGGTTGTTAAGGTCAATGGATGTGTAGAGAGTACTGTATAGCTTAATAGACTGTGGATAATAGCTGGCATGGAGTTGTCGATGCAAGCTCCATTCTAGCTTTGCCTCTAGAATCTCAACTTTAGCAACAATAGTGCACCCAAACCGCACAAGACAAAGTCACCAATGCAGTAAACCCAACCCACGAGAAGCAAGTGTCGGTCACAGAAAGGTTCTCATTCGGCTTGTGACACGGGGAATGAGCCTCGGACATAACCCCTGTCAAACATGGGGGAAATTTCTTCCCCCGCACCGATCTATGCCCTTATCAAACAAGCTTTCTGGGGTGAGCTCAGCACCAGGGGTTGATTTAGTTCCTGAGCTCGGGGCTTCTCCGACTTTGAGGGTGTGGAGGATGCTTGCTGCCGTTTGACCCGTCATTCACATGGGGGGAGGTTGGTCAAATTGGGTCTTTTGTGAGGATTCATATGTGATTTCTCTTTTACTCACCTTGCAGAGACGTCATGAAATTTGTCAATCAGTGCGGAGAGGTAATTTCGCCTCCGCAGTTTCTCGGAGCGCGTTCTTGTCAGCCCCCCGTGGTACCATGATCAGCACCCTCAAAAGTCCCTCGCGGCATTCATCTCGTCTTAGCTTCTTGTCCCACATTGATTGACCTGATCAAACTCGTGATCTCGTCTTCCTCGTTTGTCGTCATCTTCTCACATGATTCCTCAGCGTGTCTCCCTCGGCTAACATTCCTGATTCTGATGCTTTCATCTGGCAAGTCAATTGTTCAGCTCTGCGCTCAAGAGATCAAAGACGGAGCGTCGACAAAAAGATTGAGTTGAGCTTTGTCGACATCTCAATTACCTTTGCTGTATTACATCCTTCTTCTTTTTACTCTGTTCCTCGTCCCATACATCATGTCGCCTCCAAGCAGTGGTCTCCTCGACAGTGTCGAAGACTGGGACGAGATCAAGGCCGACCTCAACCCCGACTGGGCCCTTAACAAAGAATGGAAGTCATACTGGAAACCAGCACCAGCAGGCGGAAAAATACAGCAAGCCGTCAAGAGGGTCAGATCTTTTATTCGAGCGAGAACATTACCCTCGCCTGAGAAGCTGCGCCCAACTGCCTATTTGGACGGGCTCCGGGGCTTTGCAGCCCTGCTCGTCTACTTTCACCACCATGAGCTCTGGGCGCATGAGATCAGTAAACAGACTCCCATCTTTGAGAATGGCTTTGGGTATGAGGGAAACTATTACTTTGTTTCCTTGCCTGGCGTCAGACACTTCTTCTCTGGAGGCCACTACGCCGTGTCGACTTTCTTCGTTATTTCTGGCTACGTCTTGTCGCTGAAGCCCCTCACCTTGATCCAAGCGGGTGAACACATTCAACTCGGCGACAACCTCGCCTCTGCACTCTTTAGACGATGGCTTCGCCTCTTTCTCCCACTCATCATGACATTGCTCATCTACATCACGACATGGCACCTATTCGGCATTTGGGTTCGCGACATTGATCAGCAAAAGACGTGGTTCTCTGAAGTTGTAGAATTCTACAAGGAGTTCAAGAACTTTAGCTTCATCTACAAAGTCGGCGGTGCACCATGGCTCACCCACGATAGGCACTTGTGGTCTATACCCGTCGAGTTCAGAGGGTCCATCGCCATCTACACGGCCATGATGGCCTTTTCGCGCTGCACGCGGAATTCTCGGCTATGGTGCGAGGTCGGTCTCATCGTGTACTTTATGTACATCACCGATGGCTCGCACTATGCCATGTTTACCGCTGGCATGTTGCTTTGCGACTTGGACTTGTTGGCGAAGAAGGGAGAGCTGCCACGCTTCTTAGCACGCCTTTACTCGGTGAAAGAGTTCATCTTCTACCACCTCCTGGTCTTCAGTCTGTTCCTTGGCGGAGTCCCCTCTGAGAATCGCGACATTGACCAGCTTGCAAAGAACCGCGGCTGGTACTATCTATCAGCTCTCAACCCTCAAGCCGTTTACGACTACAAGTGGTTCTACCTCTTCTGGGCCGCTGTATTCCTAGTCGCTTCCATCCCGCGAATCCTATGGCTCAAAGGCTTCTTCGAAACAAGATTTTGCCAATATCTTGGCCGCATCTCTTTTGCCCTATACCTGGTCCACGGACCAGTGCTCTGGACCCTTGGCGACAGGCTATACCTGGCCACGGGTTGGCAGAATGGGGACCTGATGAAGGGCATCCCCCACTGGGCAGATAAGCTACTACTGCCGAGAACAGGGCCATTGGGCCTGGAGATTTCATTCCTAATGCCGCATCTCATCCTTATGCCGTTGACTTTCGGCTTGGCTGAGCTGACACACAGGTATATCGACACACCCAGTGTCAAGTTTGCATCATGGCTATACAAGACGGCAGTGGGGGAATCACCTAACAAGCAAGCACGATCTTAGGTAGTAATTATGTAGCATGTATCAAGATCTAAGCATCTGTAATGAGAGAATAAGAATTCAAGCATAAATTCCTGGAGCTATAACATGCTACTATTGAGCGCCACGTTCTGCGACTTGGTGTGGTGTTCTGACTGCCCGCGTGCTTCATCTCCTAGGAACCTTCACACTGCGGTTCAACGGGCAGGTCCTCCGCCATCAACGACACTTCTTGGCTTGTGATCCTCGGCATATTGAACCTCATCGGAACAACCGGCATCAAAGCGTACCTAATGCGCCGCACTCTTGCAAGCTACCCCTGCTCGCTATCCTTGAAAGAGCAACTCGCTTGAGTACTATCCTAGACTTGGATAGTTCCCGAGAGGAGCACACCCCGGAAACTTGGGGATCGCTCGATGCCCCTGTTCTGGTGCTTGTTCCGTTCTTAGCGCCCTGCAGATCGCCACACCCTCCACTGCTCCTCATTGCGGAGGCGGGGACCCCGCAAAAGGTCCGTGGTGAGAACGACAAGCCTCGGCATGCATATGAAGATGATTGTTTTTTTGGTGTGAAAAGACTCACGAGAGTGTGTGTGTACCCCTGCTTCTCAACCAACCCTGTAATCTTGACTGCATATCTTACACGAGGATCCGTTGGTGACATGCGGGATTTGAGTGTTGTGACATCTTGCTGTGCCGTTATTGCTCAGTCCTTGCATTACCGACCTGCTTTCTCCTCTCTTTTCAGCTCCCTGGACGCATGTGCATCACATGAGGTTGCAACAATCGTCCGAGTCGTTGGGTAAGAAAAGGCGATCCCATGTCGTCATGAGAGCCAAGCTGTGATTAACTCGTGGGCTGTGTTCAGATGAGGAATAGATAGAATACGCCGCATGCTAATGCCCACCCAATTCACTCATACAGGCTGAATCGGGCGGTTCCAAGACTTTCAAGAAAGCTTGACTTTGCCAGCCCCCCTCATCCAGGTCTTGGACCCATCCCAGTTTTCCAGTCCCTCGTCCTGTCTGTCGAGTATCGGACACACTTTCAAGATGCTCGTCAAGGACACCAAGCGACTGGTGCTCTTCGTTATCCCAACTCTTCTTCTTTTGGGTACTGCAATAAGGTTATACTGCAGCCCTGAGGGTTTTCGGAAACACGGCACAGAATGGAGTCCTTCGCAGTTTGCCAAGGATGCTGGAGATGATCAAGATCTTCTCTTCTCCGGTGAGGTGATACCAGAGGACCCGCAAACAACACCACAAGATGCGGCACAACAAGATACGACACCACAAGAAATACCACAAGGCATACCACAAGAGGCGCCACAAGAAGCACCCCAAGAGACACTACCAGAGACACTCCCGGAAACACCACAGGACCCCGCAGCAACACCTGAGCATCATGAAGACACGCAACCCGGAATCTTGCCCCTCCCTGAAGACTTGGGTGCCACTCATCAAGAAGTCTTCTCAGCATCAACTCTAGACAAAAAGTTCTTCATGATCGACTTTGGCAGCGGGTTCCCAGCCATGAACCCCAACATCATTCCTCATCCCACACTCGACAACACCTGGATCATTGTGGCACAATGGCGATTAGAAAACAAAGAATCTCAATGGTTCGCCGAGCTCGTCTGTGATGCCACGTTCCAAGACAATGTCCTTCGGTGTCTGCATCCACCAAATACTCTGACGGTCGCTGCTACTGTTGGGGGTGGCCGCTGCGAAGGAGATTTGGCCTTTTTCAATACCAACATTGGCCCCCATGATGCTCGGGTCTTTTATGGCCCTGAGAAGCCTTACACAATCTTTGGCTCTAATTCGGTCCACACCTGCTTCGGCCAGTTTGCTCAAGACTTGCGCATGGTGGTCGACTGGAAAGGCGACAGGGAACACCTCAACGAGTTCCGTCTGGGAACAGAGCTACAAAGACCACTGCCTTGGAACCCAGTCGAGAAGAACTGGTTCCTTTTCTGGGATTCGAATGGTCAGATGTATGCCCACTACGACGTGACCCCGAAGCGGTCATTTGCTCTCATCAACGCGGATGGCTCAGTCGGGCCAGATCTGGCTCCCCAGTCACAAGAGTCTGATGAGCGTTGCATGGCAAAATACTTTCCAAAGTTGGGTCCAGAGCTCGAGTCTATTCATCAAGCTACCAACTCCCTTCAAATCACGACGTGCAATCGGAACGATCCCATGTGCGTTCCTGATGACAGCAACACATTCGTTTTTACGATAATCCAGCACAAGACGTATTTCAGTTACCACAGCGTTTATGAACCTTATATCATGGTTTTCAAGCAACAAGCACCTTTCGACATCCACGCCATATCACGCCAGCCAATCTGGATCCATGGCAGGGAGAAGTATCCAGACAAGTCGACTTCAGACATGTTTTACGTCACATCAATGAGTTGGAAGCAGAGAGGGCAGAAGTATCATGGGTTCCTTGATGATGAACTCTTCCTTGCGTTTGGTATTGAGGATGAGAAGGCGGCGGGTATTAATGTCTTGGCTGGTGATCTGTTCAAGAACTTGGGGGCATGTTTTGAGGAATAGCCGAGTCACGTTTTATGATTGCTTTTGCACAATATCCACCTCACTTAATTGCAGTCCCGGATTCATATCGATCTTTCATCGTTAACTCGCCTCTGAACATTATTCACGCTTGCTAGTGTTTCAGACTGCTTATGATCATTCTTCTAGGGCAATCCCGTCTTTACCTCACTTGCTCCCCTTAATTCAAGCGTGGATAGGCTGCTAGGGCCGCTTGACCTCCGGTATGACAGAACAAGACATTCTTATCCTTGAAAGCGCCGGCCCTAGCAGTGTGCAACAACCCAGTCAATGCTTTTCCAGTATAGACTGGATCAGTGAGAATGCCTTCCAGCCTTGCCAACTCCTTGACTCCATCAGAGGTGCGCTCATCGAGGTTCCCATATGCTCCTCCAAGGTACGACGTGTCAATCTCAAAATCGTCCTTGGTGATGTCGTCTGGTGAGAGACCGATCTTAGAAGCGGCAGTTTTGGCAATGGTCAAGACAAGACTAACCACTTCCTGCTCTGAAGGATTCAAGATTGAGAATCCAAGTAGTCTCTTTTTCGAATTTGGATAGCCTAGCTTTTCCGCGAGTTTGAAGCCGGCAACCATACCACCAAGTGTCGAGCAAGATCCAGTTGCTGAAACGATGACATCAAAAGTTACGCCGAGCTTTGTCTCCTGTTCGAGTAACTCAAATGCCCAACGAGCAAACCCCAGACCTCCAAGCGGATGAGTACTTGCTCCCGTTGGGATGGAATAAGGAGTCCTTCCTCGCTCTTTGAGAGTCTTGATCACGGTCTCTTCGCTGGTGCCAATGGGAAATGTTTCGGCCCCAAAGATGCTGTTCGCTTGCACGTTTCCGGTATATTTGTACTCAGCATCGTTGGAGGCTACCGAGTCCTTTGCGTATAGAGCAACCTACAGAGTCAATATCGCTGCCCTTGAAGAGCATGTGGGCTTATTCACCTGCAGACCAAGTCGGGCAGCGGCAGCAGAAGTCTGGCACATGTGGTTGGACTGGATTCCTCCCGTGGTGACTAGAGTATCAGCGCCTTGGGCAAGAGCATCTGCCAACACGTATTCAAGCTTCCGCACTTTATTGCCGCCAAACGCAAGCCCCGAGTTGCGGTCTTCGCGCAGGATCCAGACACGTGCCCCGCAATCCAGTGATTCCGTCAGCCGGGATAATGGCTCAATGTCGACAGGACGGTCAAACATGAGCTTGACACGGGGAATGTCACTAAATGGAGACGGAAGTTTGGCCATAATCAGCAGTTGTAAATCTGATAGAACGTGATATGAAGAGAGGTTGTAGGATGAGGATTACGCCCCAGCTTACAAGCGGGGTGAAGTACATTACGGAAGCATTCCCGAAAACCGGATTCTAACCACGGGCGTATTTATAATCGTAAGAAAGCAATCGAATGGAGGACTTGACGTCAGTTCTCACTATTAATATTCTTTTCTTATGTATTCCTTTTAAGCTAACCATTTTCCCTCCATGAGACCAAAGAGTCAAACCCCAACGTCCATCTCACCACCAAACTCTGTCCATCACGTAATATCTCGGTCTCAGCACGACTTGCTAAGAAATATTAGTCTTTAAGCGAATCTTCCTTCCACCCAGATCCCCGACAGGCAAAGACAGGGGAAAGTCTACCGCTTCCAGCAAAGTCGAGAATAAAATCCAGCAGCTGCACGCGGACGCGACAATAAAACAGACTCCAGCCTCCTATCGTCCAAATGTCAGCATATTTCTCACAAGATTTTTACTTTTGTTGACACCCACAAAAAGCATCTTTTTGCCAACTTCCAATTCGCCAACAGCATGACCACCATATAACCAGTATGCACTTGTAGTTAGGACGATACCGAGGTCGAGGGAGAAGATTGTCAAGACCAGAGCGACGTTCGTTCGGAAGGAGGATACGAGGTATACGAGGAGAATCATGCCCAAGATGAGAGCCGAAGTTTCTGCGACGTGATAAGCAAGGTCTTGTTCGGGTCTCTGATCAAATAACATACCAAACCGGGTGCTAATCTCCATGGTTGGAGAAACCGCACCGTCGGTCACCATGCCTTGTGTGGCAGTCGAGAAGGCTGGCAACAGAGTCTTGTTGAAGGGGAAGCAGAAGAGGCCTAAGGAAACCAAGGCCATCGCTGGGATATAGTGACCGAGGCAGAGCTCGAGTGCACCCCCCAAGGTAATCATGAACCCTCCGAAAAAGAGATGGGCCGGTCTATACTACCTATCAGTGTTTTAAGGACCTACAACACACCGGAACTTACATGGCTGCTGAATCGATGTTGACGGTGTTCTGGGCGAAGAGGAGCTGACAGGCCAGTGTTCCAAAGGCCACAAAGAGTCCGCACGTGGCACTGCCATGAAGGTTAGATGTGTTTACGGATGTGTGTTGGATAATACTCACATCGGAGTCGGGTTGCCGGATTCTTGCTTCGAGGAGGCCATCTTTCTCGACTCCGTTCGCAAAGACGCTTCGTCGACTTTGGCTGCATTCCGTGACACCCCGTTCACCTTTCGGAAATAGTCCATTTCGAAAGATAGTCGACACTGTAACAATCACATTACAAATTCGTGTAATATACACTCTTGATGAAGCAAACGCAGGTAGGAAATTCACTCTGCGCATCATATCTCGCTTCTGGCCCATTTTAAATATCGTCCTCCCTTGCCTTGCCCGTTTGTCCGAGCATCTCGCCCGAGAAATGCGACAAGTTCCTGACTTTTGGTGACTCTTGGTATTGTTGGTCACCATCTTCTTCCCCCTGCCTCAATTCTCGGCCTCTCCTTGGCGGCGGGTAAATAACCTTAAGGGTAGTGGACGCGCTACAACAGATCGCTAGCAGTCTTGCCCGAATAGGAAGCCAAGCAACCATCGAGGCCAAACTCCCCACACTACTGCGGGCCACCGATCTCAGCGTTGCAGTAGCTGCTCAGTTTAACTGCTGTCTTTGGCCTTACCGACGGTGGATCTCTGTCACTCAAGTTCTTGGGTTAGACTAAGCACGTGCGAGCAGGCATCTCGAGGCTCTGCTTGCATCCAATCGTGTCCCCTATGACTCCTCTCGTTCCGCCCCTGCGGTAGTTTGAGGTCATATCGGAATCGTATAACCCATGTAGTCCTTCTCGGCATTCGAAAAATAGTCACATCTGGCATTCTACTGGCTGTTTAATTTCCCTGTACGTCGGGAGCGCAACCCGAGGAACCCGCTCTCCTGGTTTCTTTTGGCTGGTCGTTACCATCGCGTAACTGGCACGTCACGGCGATGTGTCATTGCCTATCCAAAATGGTTTCCAGGCAAAAATTACCTTTTATTGACTAGTCAAAAGGCGTATAGTCTCTTGGCTTCCACGTTTGGGTATAATCGAAGCAATCCTGAGAATATTCCGGAACCATGTCATTGTCCGGCTGCTATTGTTTATAAGCTTTAAAAAGGTCTCGACAATGCCTCCAATTCAAGCTTAGATCACACTACCAAGTCCGATTGATATTCTGCCTACTTCCTTGTCTATTCCAGTTGGCGGAAAGCCCGTTCAGCAGCTGACCTCCTCGATCGCCGACCATGTCGCCTCCTCCTCCCCCGGACATGGAAAGCCACGTCTCTGGTCAATCCAATAAGCCTCTTTCGCGTCCAGCGCATGCTTTACCGGCCGATAGGGTTGTTGGAGAGCTCAAGTCGAGCCCAGAGACCGGTCTGACCGCTGCTGAGGCGGCCCAGAGACTTTTGGAATATGGCCCCAACGACTTGGGCGAGGAAGAGGGTGTCAAGCCCATCAAGATCTTCATCGCCCAGGTGTGCAACTGCATGACACTTGTAAGTCTATTCCATTCCCTTTATCCAACCGATTTGGCTAATTGCGCCCCTCGTAATAGGTCCTAATCCTCGCTCTCGCTGCCAGTCTCGGCATCAAAGCCTGGATCGAAGGCGGCGCCCTCGCAGCCATCATCCTCCTCAATATCGTCATAGGCTTCTTCCAAGACCTGCAAGCCGCAAGAACCGTCCACTCGTTAAAGTCCCTCAGCCAGCCCACCGCCAGCGTGTTCCGAGATGGCAAGACCATCGTCGTCCAAACCAGCGAGATTGTCCCCGGCGACATCATCGACCTCAAGATGGGCGACTCGGTACCAGCAGATATCCGAATCTTGGATGCTGTCAACTACGAGACGAACGAAGCCTTGCTCACTGGAGAGTCGCTACCAGTGCGGAAGAACCCAACGATGCAATTCGACGATGATACTGGTCCTGGAGACCGACTCAATGTCTGCTACAGCTCCACCATTGTCACAAAGGGTCGTAGCAAGGGAGTCGTGTTTGCCACCGGAGCGTACACCGAGATTGGAGCCATCGCAGCTGCCCTTAACGATACAGGACGAAAGAAGAGAGAAGTCAAGCGAGACGAGAACGGCAAAGCAACCTTGGGCGCTCGCCTGACTAAGTGGCTGTTGACCATCGGTGATACGATCGGCGAGTTTCTGGGAGTCAATGTCGGAACGCCTCTCCAGCGAAAACTGTCACAGCTGTTTCTTTACGTCTTTGGTTTTGCAGTCGTTTGTGCCATCATTGTCCTTGCCGCCAACAAGTTCGATCCTCGAAAGGACGTCATTATCTATGCCGTCGCCACGGCTGTCGGCACTCTGCCAGTCTCGTTGATCTTGGTCCTGACTATCACGATGGCTGCTGGTACGAAGCAGATGGTCAACCGCAAGGTGGTGGTGAGGAACATGCAGAGCTTGGAGGCACTTGGAGGTGTTACCAGTAAGAGGCGCCCGTCATCGCTGATGAACAGAACATAGCTAACCAATTATGCAGACATCTGCTCCGACAAGACTGGTACCCTCACTCAGGGAAAGATGGTCGTCAAGATGGCCTGGCTTCCAGGATTTGGCACCTACTCCGTTCCGTCGACCAACGAGCCTTACAACCCTGAGGTCGGTGACATCGAGTTCACGCCCTTCTCTCCTACGGAGCTGCCTTCAAACACCGACGAGCCCAAGTGGAACACGATCGATCGAAACACAGAGCCCAGCACCAACCAGGCGGTGCAGAACTACTTGAACATTGCCTCTCTTGCAAACCTGGCAACTGTAGGCTTCGAAAGCGAGGAAGGCGGGCCCCAAGAGTGGCGCGTTCAAGGCGACCCTACCGAGATCGCCATCCAGGTCTTTGTCACTCGCTTCAACTGGAACCGCATGACTCTCTCTGCCGGATCAAACCCTAAGTGGACCCAGCTCGCTGAGTTTCCTTTCGACTCCGAGGTCAAGAAGATGTCGGTCGTTTTTCAAGATAACACTACTGGCGAGAGACATCTCTTCACCAAGGGTGCTGTCGAACGTGTTCTTAGCAGCTGCGTCTCGATGGAAGTTGGTGACGATGTCAAACCAATGGACGACACCGCAAAGGACAGCATCTTGGAGAATATGGAAGCTTTTGCCCGTCTTGGCCTTCGAGTCCTTGCTCTTGCCAGCAGGACGCCCGTTCATGGCCTTCCTGAAGACTTGTCTGTGGCCATGGATCGATCTGACTTTGAGAAGGACTTGACCTTCCACGGTCTTATCGGTATCTATGATCCTCCCCGGCCTGAGACTCGTGGTAGCGTGCAGATGTGCCAAAAGGCTGGCATCAGCGTGCACATGCTTACTGGAGACCACCCTGAAACTGCTCGAGCCATCGCCGCTGATGTTGCCATCATTCCATCTGCCGACAGAATGAGACTCATCCGCGCTGACGTTGCCAAGAACATGGTTATGGCCGCGCATGATTTCGATCACTTGTCCGATGCTGAACTAGACGCCATGCCTGAGCTTCCCCTTGTCGTCGCTCGATGCTCTCCCACCACAAAAGTTCGCATGATTGAAGCTCTTCATCGCCGCGGTCGATACGTAGCCATGACGGGCGACGGTGTTAACGATAGTCCTAGCTTGAAGCACGCCGACGTTGGTATCGCCATGGGTCTCAACGGTTCAGATGTTGCCAAGGAGTCTTCCGACATTATCCTAACTGACGACAACTTTGCATCTATTCTCAACGCCATCGAGGAAGGTCGCCGCATCTTTGACAACATTCAGAAGTTCATTCTACATGTTCTTGCTGCTAACGTCGCATTTGTTATTTGCCTCCTTGTTGGACTAGCGTTCAAGGATGATAGTGGTGTTTCCATCTTTGTCCTGACTCCTGTGGAGATCATTTGGATGCTTTTGGTTGCTGGTGCTTTTACTGAGACTGGCCTTGGCTTCGAGCAGGCTTCTCCCGACATTCTCCGCCGACCGCCTCAAAGTGTAAGTGATATGAGAAACCACCTCTCTCTGGGTATTAAGCCCTTTTGTCATGGATGCTAACACTCGGGTAACAGCTCAAGTACGGCGTGTTTACTCCCGAGTTCCTTGTCGATCTTGGAGTCTACGGAATTCTGATGCTCATCTCCATTCTTGGGTCCTCTGTTGTCGTCCTGTATGGCTTCAACAACCAGGGTCTCGGACACGACTGCAATACGAAGTACTCGGAATCCTGTGAGCCGGTCTTTTCGGCCCGGTCTACCGCATTCACCACCATGACCTGGGACTTTCTCCTCTTTGCTTGGCAGCTAGTCGACTCTCGCCGGTCATTCTTTGCAGAAATCTTTGAGCAAGGCGGCAGCTTCAAGGCTTGGACCATGCGCCTGTGGAAGAACCCTTTCCTCTTCTGGTCTGTTACCATCAGCACTGTCCTACTACCGCCGACTCTTTACATCCCCGTCATCAACCGTACCGTCTTTATGCACAGCCCCATCGACTGGGAGTGGGGAGTCATCTTCATCGCCGTGGGTGTCTTCTTTGCCGGTGCAGAAGGATACAAGTGGTTCAAGCGTGTGTACTTCCGCCGAACCGTGGCCAAGGAATTTAGGGGCGAGGTCACTGACGTGGAACTGTATGTGTTTGGCCGACACATTGACTCTGACATGGGGAGCGACTCCAACTATGACATGGGCCGAAAGTCATGATTATCAGCAAGAGGGGTTGTGTGTAGAATTAAAGCGAGAATTTTGGTTCATCTAGATCTCTTCTCAACAATATACATAGACGAAGCAACTACGCGAGGACACTTTGCCAGTAGTTCCTCTATCCCTTCCAACCCAACTTCATTCACCGTGCTGAGTATTCTCGCCTGCTTCAGCGTCGTTTGAAGAAGCTCGCCTCGGGCTTCCTCGTCTCGAACTTGTCGCCTGAGCCCGGTCAATTTTGCCTCTGCTTCAGTCTTTCTGCGAGTCCACTCATCCATGATGCTTTGTGCTATGTTGAAGGCTCCCAAGGCATTGGCCTGGCTGAGTTTGGCCTTGGCCAGGCGGCTTCGTATGTCTGCAAGCCTTTTTGGAGATGCGCCCGGAAACTTGGCCTTAGCCTCGGCCAGTTCATTGCGAATCTCCTCAATGCTAGCTCTGGCATCTTTGCATGCCGAATTCGATTTGACGTGCAATGAAGCAGCTTGGTTCATATTGTTCTTGATCCCCTGTAGCTTTTTCTCGGCCTGCTTAATCTCCTTTCTCTTCCTATGCAGGCCTCCCTGCCATTCTGACAAGGCGGTTGTCGCACTTTCAAGCTGTTGGGTGATAGTATCGGCAGCCTTTCGTACTTCATTCTGCAGATCCATCCGGATGCGATCAATGTCATGGTTTGTGCCCTGTTCTGATTAGCAGTAGCGCAATGCCAGAGTGATGGTCACTAACAGTGTTGGTAGTACCCAATGAAGTGCTACCTGGTGTGGTGTCAGACGGTGGCGAGCAAACTCGAATTTCCTCGTCGGCAGAGCTCTCTTCAGAATCAGACGAGAGACAGACTACGGCGACAGTTTCTCTATGAGCGGAACGGGGTAACTCAGGAGCGGCTGGCGTGTCGTTCTCAAGCCTCTTTCTCATCCGCGTGGTCGAGCGAGTAGACATCCTAGACATCTCAGAGATAGGACGCCTCCTGTTGGGTCCAGTTGGCGATGATGTTCTTCGTTGTCTTACCCTTGTCCGGGCATTGGGGACGGCCTCGAGAAAACCCTCTGTGCTTCCTAACTCATCTGATGCTGCAACCGCTCTTGTGCCAAAGAATCGCTTTTTGGTTTTGCCAATGTCCTGATACACCATCCCAGGCCCGTACGTGTCCTTCATGTATGAACATAGCGTCTCCAGTGAAACCCTTCTTGGCTCTTGTTGTCGCTCCCATGCATTTACGAGCCCACGAAAAGTCGCAAGAGAGTTGATATTGCAGATATATTTGCAGGTAGGGAGCCATTCCCAGGGGTAACGGCCAGTCTTGTTTTTGACCGTTGTGGCAGGTCGCTGTGCCCGTCGTACATGCAAACTGTTGAATATGGCTGTGGAGATTTCTGTGGTAAATGCAGGGTTGAACTCAGAGTCGGTGGTCCCATCTGGCGAGTCTGCTCTGACTATGTTGCTTGCCTTGTGCAAATTTGTAGCTCGGCCCATGGCTGCCTGACGGACTGTGGTGCAAGGCAAGCAGCCTATCCGCTGCTTCGGGCTAAATAGGTAAGAAGAGAACGGTTAATGACAAGGCGAGAGTGCGTTGGTTGCATACATAACCGATTACGCGTTGGGGTTTTCGGTACAGCAGGCTCGGGACGTAACACTTTGAGTAACGGACTTTGCGACTTTGAAGCCACAAGATTGCTTAAAGAAATTGGACGACGCAACAGTTCTGGCTCGGCTTTGCTTCTGCGCTCGATTTGTAGTTCCCGTATCGAAGGATAAGTATGGAAAAAAAAAAACGAAAATCCGCAGTGGACGGGATTCAGTGTTGGATTAAAAAGGACAGCGAAGGGAGAGAGAGAAACGGCCCCCAAAGGTTGGCCAGGGTCTGAACGCCTCAAACCCCAGCCTCGTCTGTTACTTGCTGATACATCACCTTTGTTTACTCAGGGGATCCCCGCCTGTTGGCCGACAGCTCCAGGGCATCCAAGGAGGCTTCTACTGCTGTGAATGACTGAGTGTCGCTGTAATTGGCTACTATTTAGCATTATCGAATCAGGGGTGAGTATTTGTTGTGTCTGTGGAGAGCTTATTGCTTTTTCTCTACCAAGGACTATCCAACCCCCTTGTCCGTCGCAACAGGATAAGACATGCGGAAAGAGACAACTTGGAGGTGCAATTTCAGAAGCAGGGTTCATTAGAGCTGAGAATTAAAGTTTGAGTTTTTAAATTAACCCCCATTTTGCCCCTTTGATCAGGCTGGAGAACGGAGTACATGATGCAGAAGTAGGACGTAGGTATTATTCTTACAAAAAGTCTCCATCCGTTTCCTTCCTCCTGACTGAGACGAAAACGACAATATTTAACTGCAAGACAACTTAATTACATGTACAATCGAGAACTCTGCGGGGCTCGGTCAGTGAAACTTGGAGTTTGTGCCATGGGCTCCGTCATGGATGTATGGATAGCCAGTCGTACCACGCAGCCACCTATTGCCAAGACCAGGCTGGGAAAACACAAGTCGGCCAAGACAAGGAATGTCACTTGATGCAGCCGAGCCAAAAACACGGCAGACTGAAACAGCTACTGCGCATCGTTATGCCGACCGTGTTCAATTCAATTAGCTATAGGTTATGTTCGATCTCAGACCTCAAGGCCTGGAAACAGTTACGCAGCCCTCGTCATAGCTTTTGACTAGGGCTATGCGCTTAAATGATAGGAGGAAACAACTCGCACAGGGACCTATGTGTGATGGATTAGACGTAAGACAACCCGTTGAAAAGGTCTTGGCTGCCTATTTCGGATCATGTTGTTGTTGTTGTCTCTCACTAGGGTGTCCATGATGAGCGATATCGAGACCCGTTGGGTAGTGGGAATCAAATATTTGTTCCACGAGCTTCTGGTTGGGATCCGCTTCGGATTGAAAGCTTGTCTTTGGAGAGGTAGGTATGCAAGATGAGATCGAGGCGATAACCTGGGTCTTTCTCAAATCTCAGCCTATAGGGTAGGCTAAAGGAGAAAACATCTCGTCTCACAGATTACGAACAGGATATTGAACAGTATGATTCAAATGCCATTTTGAATGAATCTGTTAGCGCTCAGAGTAATTTTCCAAATGAAGAAACCATAGCCTAAAATTCCGCTGTTGGTTTTGTCGCTGTCAGCAATTATTCGAGAAGCTTCTTGAACGCCGGAGACAGCCCGGATCATGAATGAGGGTGCATTGGAGATCTCGGATAGGTCGGCTCAAGGTTGACAACTGGCTAATCCTTCTTGGCATCCTGATAAACTCTAACCCCAGTTGAGGCATTCGAGGGTGGGAATGATGTGAAGGGCGGTTGTAATTCCGAGCTCGGTTTCCGCCAGCGATGGAGTGACTCGGAGGTGTTGGCTTGGACAAGCGAACGTACCCCTAGCTAATTATGGCATAACCCTCGGTCAAAATGTGCCTTGGCTGGCCTTTCTGGGCTAGCTTGAGCCTCACTCTCATGAGTGAACACCTTGTTATTCAGGCATCAACTGGCCCTTGTCATCCCGCTTCGTCTCTCGCCGGCGAAAATCAACCAAACATCCCTCAGACCAAGAACCAAGCATTCAATACCCATCAGCTGACGAATGATAGGCCACCTGGCGACGCCTAGACCTCGTTCATCTCTTGCTACTGCTCTTGTCTCTTTTCTCTAGATATCACCAAGAGGCTATCCCCTGCTCGGCACATCCGCCATTTTTTTGCTCCCCCTCCACTCCTTAATAAGCAGCCTTGACCGCAGCTGCTGGCCGGCCACCGAGCCATGTCCCAGTCTCCCCCCATCATCAGCGAGAGTGTCAGTCCGCGAACCCATCAAATAGCCAAGAAAGCTTGTCACAGTTGCCGCCGTGCCCGTCTACGCTGTGACCGATCATACCCGGAGTGTACCAAGTGCACCTCGAGAGGCGTCGAGTGTCTTGGCTATGGTCGACTCTTCCTATGGACTGGCGCCGTCGCCACACGAGGGAAGCTTGCTGGGCAGAGCTCGAGTGCTTCGGTGTGTCGTCTTCCTAAACAGGATGATGTGACCTCTTTCGATGCAAAGGGTGTCGGGCCTGAGGGCTGGGGCCTGATAAGATCTCATGATAATCAAGTCTTCTATCCCACCTCACAAGCCCCGTGGCACACTACATCGCCATGGCCCCTCGTTGACCCTCTGTTCCAAGATATGTCTCATTCTAAGAGGTGGTATCTAAACTATTGTACGGACTGATCCCCTGCACAGGTTTAAGGGCAGCTGGTTTCTCTAACATGGCGTCTAGTTTCGTCTCGTGTCTGTTTGGATCTCGTTGCTCATGACAGACCTGACAACAATCCATTTCGCAGTCTTCTCTTGTTGACCAACGCACATCCGTTCTTGCAAGAAGTCATCGTTGCCGTATCTGCTGCCCACATGTGCAACCTAGCAAGGCCATGGCTGAGTCCCGACTCTTTTGATAGAAAAGAGCCTCCAAGACAGCTGCTCATGGATGCACTCAAGGCCAAGCAGCAGGCGCTACAGTTGATGCCCTCGGCACTAGAGAATATCGATTCCATCGGAGCCGATGTTATTCTCGCTGCTATCTTGTTCTTTGTCAATGCTGAACTGGTCGAATCAGGTTGGCAGAGCTGGAGGCCTCACCTTGAGGGTGCCAAGAAGCTTCTGAACATGATGCAGCCCTATGCAAGCTTTAGCGAAACTCTAAGGGACTATGTCGTCTCTGATTTTTATGTGTTAGTAGATGCGTGAGAGCATGTCGACAAGTCACAGGCTAATCATGTCGCAGATATTGCACTCTCAGCTTGTCCTTTAACCCCACGATGCCGGGCGTACAGACTGCATTCTTTTCGCCAACGCAGGTTAATCCGACACTGTCGAGAGCTACCAACAACTTTTTCTGTTGCCCTGCAGAGGTTCTTGACATTCTCCGCGAGGCGGCGCAGCTTTTGAACACGGAAGGCGATAAGCAGGTTGCGGATGATGTGATGTTGTCTTCATTCGCCGCCTTGTTGAAGCGAGCACAGAACGTGGACGTCTTGACATGGGCACGCGAGGGCGTCTCGCCGTATGAAGAGACAGAGATCCAAAGCCGGTTCCTCACTGGCTCTGCGCATCGACTTGCGACGTGCTTGTACATCATCCAGTCGACTCCGGCTTTGACAGAGAGAGTGCCGGACAAGGTGTGCGAGACGCTCATCCGAGATATTTACGATACTCTTTCACCGATGCCCGATGACGACCCAAACTTCAAGGCAACGGGATGGCCCACCTTTATTTATGGAACGACGGCAACTACTCCAGAGCTCCGCGCGTGGGTTATGGACCGACTCAAGAGGCTCGTGGCTGTTTGTCCATGGGGCTTCCTCTACTCGGCCATCGACACGCTGCAGATTCTCTGGGGACTCGACGCAGAGGGAAAGAGGACAACTAATTGGATACAGCAGCTGAAAGATTTGAACGTCGATTTCCTAATGGTTTAGCGAGGGACAAGAAGGGCAAAAAAATAGACGACGAGGCATGCATCATGCGAGGATGGAACACGGGACATTTCTGATACCACGACTTGTTAATAATGAAAGCGATTCACTTTTTTCTTTAAACTCCACAAAAGTTTAGTCAAGGATTACTCTCAGGATTTCTGATTCTAATCATTAGACAAGAAAAATCCTGTTGGAGCAAGGGCATGCCCTGGTCGTTTGTGCACGTCTCTTCTGCTTGGGCCACATGCGTCTTTTTGCGACGTTGACCCTGTAGACGCACCAAGGTCACCTCATGCGAACCGACATGAGTGTGTAGTATTTGCTGCAGGTGTGCTGTTTGTTGATTGGACGTTGCTTATCTGGTAGGTAGTGACGATCCCAGGCGCATGGTGTTGAGATGCTTTATCTAGGCCAATCCGATAGACCAATGACAGACTCGTAAGATAGACACCGGCAACTCTGATCCGCGTCCATCAAGCTTTCTTGGTCTCGCCTCCAAAACGCGGTCGCGGAGAAGCCGTCAGCTGGAGACTGGGGTCGACCCCTGCGCACGCGAGCATTCGCCAGACTCGACATTCCACAATGACATCAACCGGTTCCCCGTTGCTGGATCCGACCCGTTCGTTCGGCAAACGTGCCACAAGGAGTAACGTAACACGGCCTGCCCTATGGGGTATCGATCCGGTCTGCCCATTGCGGCCCGACTGGGGACCTTGTGGGGGTTTCTTCTGTGTGGCCTGTCATGGGCTGTTTGGCGAGATAGTATAAGAGAAAAACTTTTCCCGTCTTCGATCAAGACTCTGTTTCTGGCTCTGTAACGAAAAATCGGAAAATGTTTTGCTGACTATCGATCGCCATCTTTCACACCCATACCTATCCTCCATAACCTCAAGTGAATGCGGCTCCAAGGAGCCGTTTTGCCATACGTCGATTTATAATAAAGACCCCCCAAGTCAACCTCTCGGATGGACGACCAGCCCCGCCGCGACACCATCGATGAAGTCCTCCCGGGCACGAGAAGGCTCTTTACCGACGAGTGGGCGAGCGTGTCGGGCGACAGCGGACTCGAGAAGCATGGTGACATTATTCTCGTCCCGCCCCCGACAAAGTCGCCGAATGATCCTCTGAACTGGAGCCTCGCGCGCAAGATATGGCACTCGTTCCTCGTCTGCTACATTGTCGCCCTGACCGCCGCAACCTCCAACACGGCCGGCGCGGCGGGTGTGGGCGTCAACGAGGAGTATGGCATTAGCTACGACGTCTTCAACACGGGCGCCGGCGTCCTGTTCATCGCCATCGGATACTGGACGCTGCTGAGCTCGCCCGCGACCCATCTTTACGGACGTCGCATCCTCTACCTGGTTGGAACGGTATGGGGTCTTATCGGAAACCTCTGGTTTGGCCACCTCAAGAACACAAACGACACCATCTGGTCTCAGCTCTTTGTCGGCGCCTCCGAGTCAGTCGCCGAGGCCGTCGTGCAGCTGTCGCTTCTCGACATTTGGTTCGAGCACCAGAACGGTACTTCGCTGGGTCTGTACACACTGGCCACCACGGTCGGCACCTACGTCGGCCCTCTGATCGGAGGCCACCTCGCCGAGAACATTGGCTGGCGCTGGATCGGTCACGTCGGCGCCATCGCCTCGGGGTTTACCTTGCTCCTCTTCTACTTTGGACTTGAAGAGACTGAGTTCGAGAGGAACCGATACCTGGATCTGCAGCAGAATGACGAGCGCGACGCAGAGGCCGACTCGGGCAACGCCGACGGCATTCCCGTGCCACCCCCGACTCAGGGTGGCGATCTCGTTACCAAGACGAGCAGGGAAAAGTCGGAGGAGCCTGCTGACGTCGAGGCTGGTGTGGTGGACATGACCGAGTCTTCTCGTCGGTCGCAGACTGAGCGCAACCGGCTGTCGGTGTCGTACTCGCAGCGCAAGACTTACTGGCAGCGCATCGCCCTCATCACGCCCGCCTCCAACCTTCAGGGCCTGGGTCTCCGCCAGTATGTGTCTCGCCTGTGGCACACGATGCGCATCTTTACATTTCCCGCTGTGTGGTTTGCAGGTTTGCAGTGGGGATTGCAGAACATTGCACTGTCCTTCTACCTCACCGTCGAAGAGGATTACTGGATTGGCCCTCCGTGGAACTACAGCGATGCCGCCGTCGGCAACATGAACATCCCATGCCTGATTGGCAGCATCATCGGCTGTTTCTACGGTGGTTACTGCAGTGACAAGTTCATCCTCTGGATGGCCAAGCGCAACAAGGGCATCATGGAGGCCGAGTTCCGTCTGTACCTCATGGTGCTCTGCGTCGTCATCTTCCCGCTGGGCATGTGGCTCTTTGGCATCGGTTCGGCGAAGGGCTGGGCCTGGCCGGTTCCTTACGTGGCTCTGGGCTTCATCGGCTTTGGCTACGGATGCGCGGGCGACCTGAGCATCACGTACCTGGCCGATAGCTACCCGGACATGGTGCTGGAGGGTATGGTGGGCGTGGCCGTCATCAACAACAGCATCGCCACCATCTTTACTTTCGTGTGCAGCTACTGGATCGACACGGGTCTGCAGGACTGCTTCATCGAGCTTGGCGTCCTGAGCTTTGTCATCCTCATGCTGTCGCTGCCCATGGCTGTCTGGGGTAAGCAGTCGCGTCGCTGGACCCTGGGGAGATACATCAGATTCCTCCAGATCCGTGACGGCATGGACGGCTGACTTGGGAGGTACACAGCACTTTCCAAAGACCAGATCGAATGGTCTGATGGGGATAGGTATGGTGATGACTCTGGGTGGGAAATAGATTGTGCCGAACTATCGGCTTCCAGACTACAGAGTCACATTTGGATGCTTCGCACTCGCGAAACATCATTTCTCTCTTTCAACTCCGTAATTATCTATTTGCACGTACATACATTGAGATCCTTGGGGTCTGTCGTTCATTCACACACTACACCAAGGCCGATGTATGTGAGACAGTGCTAACGTAAAACGGCCTCCTGCTTGGACGCAGCCCAGATCTCTGGACCGGAACCAACATCGATCTCGCAGCTCCTTAACCCCTGTGCATCTGACAAGCAACCACTCAAAACTTCCAACAGACACATGCCCCTGACATGAGGCGTTGTGCGGTCAGACAAGTCGGGGCATTCTGACAACTGACCCCTGATGGCTTGGCCCTCTTGCCCGTTACAGCACCATCCTTTTCCCTTTCAAAGTCTTTGTTCCCGTTAGCTTCCCTACTAAGCTTGTTCAGCCCTTATCCGCAAAAACGTGGATGAAAGCTTCCAATAGTTCCCCCCTCTTTCAGTGCAGCCTACGCCAAAACCGTCAGACCCAGGAGAAATCCAAGACTAAATACTTAACCCCTCAAATGTCCACAGTTTCTTTGTGAGTCTTGGCGTAGTCTAGAATGGGTTCAGCTGCTGAACGGTTGAGCCGTGGCGTTTGACATGTCGCTAAACTGTTCCCAACGTGGAGGCTACCACGCGCCAAGACGGGACCTCGTGGTAAAAACTGGTGGAAAAGTGGCGATAGCCTCGCGATACTATGGCCCTGTTGAGGGTTCTATCGGTGTGCTCAACGGTGTCTAGACAATGGATTACGGGATGTTGGGTCTCCGGAGCGGATACGGACTTGAGCTGAAAGAGCTCTAGGAGGTGAGAAATCAACTATAAAGAGAGCGTCAAGTCTCCCTTCAACTGCTTCATATCACCAGTGTCAACATCTCAACAATCAAACACACATTCAAACATCTTTACCACTCCAACTCTTCCATCCTTCACCATGAAGTTCACTCTCATCGCCGCTCTCCTTGCCCCCATCGTGGCCGCCATCCCTAAGGAGCTCCAGGAGCGCACCGGATGCGGCGACAACTGTGCCCGAGCCGTTGTCCCTGGCTTCCGCGGCCCCGCGGTCGTGGCCTCGTACCAGGCCGAGTGCAACGCCTATCTTGAAGTCACCACCACCCCTCCCGCCAAGTAAGTCTTGTCCCTTGCCATTCACGCTTTGAGCAGTCTAACACGACTTGCAGGACTGTCTATGTGACCAAGTCTGTTCCCACCTACGCCAGCGCCTGCTCCGGAGAGGCTCGCTACCTCACCGCGTGCTCTTGCGCCAGTGCTTCTCCTGTCACCATTGAGGCGCCTACCCCAACTGTCACCAAGGTTGTGTTTGTTTAGGCTCAGGATGATAAATCTGAATGGGAAATGACATGGAGTTTGGTTGATGGTATCTGGGAAGTTTTGTAAGGCTATGGTGATAGGGTTGTGTTGGTTACAACGAGTCGAAGACCTTGGAGATAGACTACTAGCTGGGCTCTGTTTCTCGTGGAAATTGAAAGGACTTCTCAGCAGTATTTCGCAACTTGGGCAAAAGAATCGTTAAAGTGCACAGCTGTGGAAATGCGAGAGATTAACTGCCTTTCCAGAAGACATGTTGCGCAAAGACATTGCCGTCTTAGATGCGAGACAACGCGTCGCAAACAACTACGGGAGACATGGCGGCGTTGAACTTGCTGCTCGGCTTCTGAAAGGCTTGAACTAGGACTAAAGCGATGGGTTTAAGGAGAGGCTCGGGCTCGGCAAGGCTAGATAGGTTAAGATAAAGAGTAAAGTAATAATTAAAAAATTATTTATTAAGAGGAGTAAAAGTTAGTTTACCTCTGTTAAATAATAGAGTAACGCAGTATCTAAGGGACAGATATAGATATAAGTTGCTATCCTAGGTATTAGTTATTATAAATTATGCCTATATATATCTAAAAAGGGCACGTGAATGGCAAGCGTGGCACAGCTAACGCACCCTCGCTCATGGTAGATGAGAAAATGGTCCTATAGTCTAGTGGTCAGGACGTTGGATTTTGATTGCCACCTTCCAAAGTCGCCAGTTCGAACCTGGCTAGGACCTCTTTTTTGCCCTCGACTGCAACTTTCTTTTTGTACTTCGGCCGTCTTGGTGTTGTTTCAATTCGACAGGAGGGAAAATGGGACAACCGACTGAGTGTGTGTGTAACATTGCACCATCACGATCGCTGGTGGGCTCTGGATCAGTGAGTGATTCGGCGTTTACTGGACTGGGCTTGGTTCAGAAGGATGCCTAACAGCCCTTGCACCGACACCACGTCATCACGTGATAGCGCTGCCGCTGCTGAATCCTGTCTAGGCTTCCCTCGCGTCTTCGCGTGTAGCCGTCAGCTTATTTTAACACCGTCTTCCTCCTATTGTCCCCCTTTCCTCCCAGTTCCTTTCAAAGTAACCGGCCACAATTGAAAACACAATGACTCTTAGGAGAAGCGCCAGAATTCGAAACCAGGATGCCCAGGGACCACCTGAGCCCCAACAATTGCAGCCTGTCCCACTCAAACGCAAAGCCCCGCCAGCCAAGGCACAGGGGGTTGCGAAACGCAACAAGAGTGCAACAGAGCCAGCAAAGCCCAAGGCCAAGGCCAAACAACCAAATGTCCAGGCTCAAATCGTCTCGAACGATGATGCACTTTCGTCCCTGCCACCGGAGATTTTCAACATGATCCTGCAGAGCGTGAGGAACCAAAGGACTTCATTGCACCGATGCTAACATTACATGCCCCAGATTGATGATCGACCAACTCTGGGCAAACTGGGCCGCACATGCAAGAAATACTATTCAATTGCAATGCCATACCTCTACAAGCACATTGCCGTGGCTGCCATGTTTCACGCCCACATTCCAAAGCTCATCCGTGCGCTTGAGCCGGTTCTCACCATAGCACAGAAGAAGCAGCTGAAGAAGGAAGGCAAGTACAAAGGCCAGCAGGAACGATTTTCATCTCGTCTTGACGAGAACGCCAAGCCACTCTGTGCAGACTACGTTCGTAGCATCGTCGTCGGTGTGTGCGACCCGGGGCGAAAGCACAAGTACATTACCAACAGATATCTGGAAGAGGCCTTTCAGAACTTGAACAATCTGGAGATTATTGAGACGCGAGTTCTTACAGAGTAACTTGGCATCCAGTCCATTCGTAACATATGGACTATAACGTGCTAACCGTGTCTACAGACAAATGGCGGAAAGCATTGTATCACTGAAGAACCTGAAAGCTTTGTCTGTGAGTACAGCCAGGTTTGAAGAAGGTGCTATGCGACCGCTTGCAAAAATCAAGAACCTGCAGCATCTATTTGTTGAGGATTACAGCTGGGGCATGGGCATGGGCAAGGACAACGTGGTTCGGTCAATGCTACTGAACTCTAGGTCGACACTTCGCAGTCTGTCTATGCGTACAAGCTCATACGCCACCTGCTTTCTCGACGACTGGGAGAAGATGGTTTCCGCATCCAAATCCAGCCAAGCACATGATCTCATCGCCCTCAAGTCATTCACTCTTTCTGGCGTCAGATTTGATGAAGGCAACTTCTTAAAGTCGATGCAGAGGGCCATTGACTTTGCCGGTCTGCACGAGCTTAGGCTTGGGCGTCTGGCTGAAGGCAGACACCTCCTTTTTCAGTATCTCGCAAGTTTGGCCGGCTCAGCCCCGGACAAGCACATAGATTTGCGAACCCTAAGTGTGGACATGTCGCACAATCACCGTATAGAGACGCCTGAGCAGAAGCAGACGGGCTTTGACGCCAAATGCGCCTTCATCTCCTCGTTCGATACCCTCTCGACTCTGGAACTTGTGGATTACAATCAATATCAGGAACACATGGTCAATCCTGGATTGTCGGATACACTGCTGCAAGCCATCCTCAAGCACGAGAACCTGAAAGTTTTCAGGATATCTTACACAGGAATCATTTCTGGCTGCAAGATCCCATATCTGTCGGCCGAAACTGTGGCCACCATCGTCAACAACCTACCTCATCTGGAGGAATTCGAGTTTGCGCCGGAAGAGAGTGAAATTGTAGGGCCTTTTAACTGCATTAACTCTGCTCATCATGCTAACAGGTGTCGATAGGACAAAATCGGCGAGGCACTTGCTGCCAGCCCCAATCTCACCAGCGTTACCTGCTGGCCGCATGCCCGCTGGGGAAATCCTGGCCAAGAAGATCGAGAAAAAATACCCGGCACCAACATTTTAAGAGGCATCCTACAAGGATTCATGTCTCGCGCTGGCAACAGCGACAACACCAAGTTTGTCTGGGAAGATCACTACAAGCTCAAGCGAGTCTCTGTGACCTATCGAGCATGGGTGGTTGCGTCCAAGTTTGGAAAGCTTGAGAAGGGTATGAAGAAGGAGGAAAAGATGAAGAGCAGTGATGAGAAGCGGGAGGTTTTGTACCGTGATATCTCGGGGACCTTTCTTCGGTATATACATGTCGGCTACGATCCTGGCTTTGAGTGGGTGGAGAAGGTGTCAAAGGATATGGATTGAGCGATGGATTGATGTTGTCCTTATATTGTTATGTGAATAGTTATAACTGAGTACGGTTTGCGATATTAGTCCATGACTATGTGGAAGGAAGAGCCTTTAGGTAAGGACCATGGAGGGACATTAAGAGGCAATAAGAAGAAGCTGAGTTAGAAGTGTCACAAGAGCTTTCATTGGAGACGCTTGGGGCGGAAAAGTCAAGGATCTAGGTTGCCCCATTGAACAGCCCACTATGCCTCAAAGGATCGTAGGTGCTTCTCATCAATCTCCATCCCATCTTTGGCAGTCTTCAGTCCATCCGAATCTTTCAAGGCTAGAAGATATTTACCCTCAGAAGAGACCGAGGCTACTATGAACGGGCCTTCGGAGCGGGAGTTATCAGTCTGCTTGTACCAAACTTTGTCTCCCGTGATGAACTTGGGAGGCTATTGCCTGATATCAGCTCGCGATCATTGCCGTAATCTACACGCCTAATAACTCACATTCCGGTATTCCTGGATGTATGGTCTCGACTCATCATAGTCGATCGTGAACTCTGGGCTGACGCTTCTGCCACTGACTCTATTCCTTACTCATTAGTACGGGCTACCACGAGGTAGACGGCTTCAACACCAACATACCCGTTCTGGTCAGACGCCATGTTTACGTGTCAGCGATGAACGAGGAGATGGGAGCGAGATCCTCCAACTATCAGGACAGGGATAAACTGAGATGTAGCGACTGATTGGAGAACTGATATCCTGAGCGCCTAGTCCGACAGTTTTAATTTACCGTCGAGTGTGCGGAAAAGACAGGTACAGAGATATTGTCTGGCAGCCTGGTCTTGGTGCCCAATGTGCACATTGCAGGTAGCCCAATATTTTGCTCGGCCCGGCAGCCGGCAGCCCGATCCTGCTGACCACTTTCCACCCCGCGTCGAAGAGAGTGGCGTAGATATTAAGTACCGCGCTCTGGGCCCTTGATGTAGCACTAGATCATCTTGGATCTTTGTGTGGTAATACGAGTTCAAGAAGTTAATGAAGGAGACTTTGCTCCTTGTGATTGGCCATGATTGATAATGTAATATCTAGCGAAATAAAATTACATGATAATAAGAGAGGAATGAATGATGGTTGAAAAGTTCACTGAGGCATACCCGAAGTGAAAAGAGACGCAGTCTAAGTAGGCATGGTTTTATTATCCAAGCAGTGAGAACTAGTAAGAAAGAAAACTAGAGAAATAACAGGGAGAAGAATCTGCTGAATTTCAAGAGATTCTCAGCGATACAGACATTCTAATTAGCGTAGGTGAGCCACAGTGCCACTGAAGACCAAGGACAAAGCTAGATGCTGGTCTCAGCACAGGAATCACTTACATAGTCAAAGAGATAGTGCCTGCTCTAATTCTGTATGAATATGGAACGTCCACGCTGTCCAAGAGTCTCGTAACCTGTCTTCGATTTTGGTCGGCGACCCTCGTAGTAGAGGTCTAACCGCGGATAGGTACGCAAATGGCGCAGGCTGAGTGGTGACGAACACTTTGAAAATATCATCACAGCTGTGAATGCCACGGAGAATATTCTGTTCTGGGATCGTCATCCTCACTACTAGCTCGATCTGCTTTTCAGTGAGATCTTGCTCGCCCGTGACGGTGCTGTCAGAGAAAAGTCGCGTATTCTCGTTTGCTAGGAGGTTTTTAATTTCCCAGTCTTCTGAAAGATAAAGAATGTGCACAAACACCGGAGCCTTGCCGTTGTTGACAATAGACAGACAAACTTGTTCTTCGTTTTTCACGTTAATTATTTTGGTGTCTGGAAACGGAGTCTCCGACTCGTTGCATATCTTGACGTCGACGTTGGCTCGAAGTACCTCATTCTCTGTAGACGGCCTCATACTCACGATCTCGTGGTATCTGGAGAGGTATGCCAGAACACGAAGGATCTGAGGGCGTGTGGTTGGGGAATGAGCTGGCAGCAGCGAGAGCCCACCAAAGTCCACCCGTTGCCCCTGTCCATCTTCTATATCAAACCCACCCTGGCCGTTGATTTTGGCTTTGAAAGGTGCTGTGGCTTCTGTGAAGCTGGGTAGGAACACTGGGTTTTCTTGCAAGGATCTCCCCTGACTCGATCGTTTCGCTGTCCCATCTGTCGTAGTAGAAACCTGCTGGCACAGTTTCAACGGTCTGGCTACCCAGCCAGCATCGATCTTTGAGGTAGGGTTGATGGGGTTGACATTGGCTGTCACTCCGCCCACATCTTGGGCAGTTGCAAGCACATACGTGCTGTCCCAAATTTCGTCGGTGAAAGTACTCAGGGGAGTTAAAACTAGCTTGTCGTTCTCATGAACTCCCATTATCTCCCCTGCCTGGACCATGATCTTTCCGCTTTTGAAGACGACCAAGGGGAAGAAGGAATCGTCCGAGCCTTGCAAATGTCCAAAAAATGAAAAGTCGCCAGTCCCCTTTAGTTGAGGGGTCTGGTCAGACTTCATAGCTTTGAACCTGGCGCAGATGAACTGGAAGATGGCCATATGACTCATAGCCAGCGACTTTAGTCTGTCAAGAGATTTGAAGAGGGTGTAAGTAAGAGTTCCATAGACTTTCCCCTCCTCGAAGCGTAGGGCGCGCGTGGTTTGCGTTGGCCCGCACGCCGTAAGAATTGTGTAGCCCTTGGGATCCATGAGCCAATTTTCACGCGCCGAAGCACCTCGGACAGTTGCATCGCTGCATGTGCCACCTGAATGGGCATGGTCTTGAGATTTTTCGACATGCTCGGGGCCAGAGGCGCCGACAAAAGGAATGTATCGCTCTGGGTCTGGCAGCTTTCGGCGGGATATCTTACCCGAGTAGCAACAGTCGAGAGCCAAGAGGACTTTGACACCCTTCGTGACCATCTGGTTGAGAGAATTTGCCAATTCGTCGCCCGTGAGGCAATCCCGCAACCGTCCATTCTGGTCTTCGCATCCGAACAGTACAAAAGCCAGTGAACCTTGGGGCAAAACTGTGCCATGCCCGGAGAAGTGAACGAAGACATGGTCATCTTTGGTAGATTTCGATGTGATGCGGGCAAGATGATTTCTAACGTTCTGCAAGGTTGGTACTGTATCATCGCCCTCCGGTGGTTTGTGTGTGTTGGGATCCCGATGTGTCGGATTGCTCGCCGTTAATCTGGTAATCTCCAACATGTCGAGCCTCTTGTCCCGCTGGAGGGTTTTCAGATATGTCTCTAGTAAATCAACATCCCGAACACAGCTGTTCAGGGGTTTCTTGATGTAAAAGTCCACGCCGATTAGGAGGGCGAAATGCTTAGGATTCGACATGTTACCGCTGTCTGTGCTGGTCTGCAAATGGGTATCAGGGATAATGTGATGAATAAAGACCTGCTTAGAATTAGATGCAAGAGGTGAGGGGTATTCCACGTGATTTAGGTATCCATGAGACTTGACCTGCATGTCCGGTTGGGTTCTCAGCCTGACTTCTGCTCAACACTCTCGTCTCGAAATCTAGACGGCACCACCGAACCCACCGAACCACCCCTCAATCAAGCAATCCAACAAGATTCAGAATGGATGACCCTCTTATCAATGACGCGGATTATTCTTCCTGGTTGGAGACGATCATTGGAGAGTTAGGCCTCGTGCAATCCGATGCCTCGAAGTCGTCTTCAGACGCTGCCGAAGCTCTTTTTCTCGATCGCCTCGCCACAAACGCGGCAAGAAGAAGGCTCCGTCGGAACGATGAACTCGGGAATAAGCTTAATGATCAAGAGATTGATCTAAGACTTCATGCAGTGGATGTATCGCCGCTACTTGACCCCGAACTGGCATGGAGGCGGTTGTTGGCAGCGGATACTCTCCTAGAACGCTACGAGACGCGCAGTCGAGACATGCTGGATCTGGAACAGTTGATTTCTCTTCTGGAAAGTGCTAGCTCACTTATAGAGGAGGGGAATGAGCTTTTCCCGGATTACCTCGTGGTATACGGGCGCGCTCATCGGTGTCACTTCGATGTGACTCAAGACCCTTTAGAGCTTGGAAGGATCATCCAGACCCTCGCCTCATTCCTGCACGTGGTTGATGGGAACCCAATGCTGCTACAGGTCTATTCGAGTCTCTTGATGAATCAGTTCAAGTTTTCGGCAAGGCAGCAGGATCTCCATGCGGCCATTGAGCGGGCAGAGGCTGTTCGAAACCATGTCAATGCTGGGGTTGACACTCGGATATTCGCCCTTTCAAACCTAGCAGAGTGTCTCCCAGACTTGCCAGACTTTCAGATTGGTGATGGGGGCACGCATCTGGATCGTGCGGTGTCAAGGGGATTGGAGGCGAGGGAATTGGCTAAGCGGCCAGACCACCCCGTTGCAGATGTCGCCTTTGTATATGGAAGTCTCTCGTACGCGCACTATCGTCGTTATGTGCATTCAAGAAGACCTGCAGATTTACAACAGGCGCTTGAAAACGGAAAGAGAGCGGTGGAACTTTGTGGAGACGGCCATCCCGACAAGGCCCGATGGACAAACCACCTTGGACTGGTCTACATAGCCCACTTCCACCACCTGGCAGACAGATCCAGCCTGGAGAACGCCACCAGTTTATTCCAGGAGGCCATTGAACTCTCTTCGGAGCATGGGCAAATCCGTGGGCTAGCACTCAGCAACCTAGCAGATGCGTTGGCGTCCAGGTTCGACCTAACTGGGGAGACCGAAGCTCTGGATATTGCCGTCCTCAAGTACCGGGCCGCAGCCAAACAAATCAACCCGCACGTCGTCAAGTCGGCTAGCAACCTACAAAACCTTGGAAGTATCTTGATCACTGCGTACTACCGCCACTTGGCAAGCGAGTATCTGGATGAAGCTGTGGACGTCCTCAACCGAGCTCTGCAAAGATACCCCGTCGGTCATGTGGATATCGGATTTACTCACTCTTTGCTCTGCAAGGCACTAACCGACAAGCACAAACACGTGGAATCTGGTCGACAAGAAAACATTCAGAGTGCCATAGACCATGGAACGAAGTCGATACTACTGGCTGGGAAAAATGATCCACGCATGCATCTTTTTCTACAAACCCTTTCTGCGGCCTATCTAACCAAGTGGAAAGAGAACCGCGAAGAAAAAGCGGACTTGGAGAAAGCGATCGAGTTTTCAAGAAGATGCCTTCATGCGACACCGCAGGATTCTTCGGAGAGAGCAAGACTCCTCGGTTGGCTCAGCAGCCTGCTTGTTGAACAGCTATTTGACAACGATCCAGACGCCGATGGTTCTACCTTCACTGAACCCCTCAGTCTCTATACAGAAGCAGTAAATTTACCAAATGGCTCGCCGCTGATGCGAATACACGCGGCTCGAAAGGCGGTCAGAATCCTCACAAACCAGCACAGGTGGGAAGCGGCAAAACCAATCAGCTTGGCAGCCATGCAGCTGCTACCCCAAGTCTGCGGCAGATACCAGTCTTTGCAAGACCAGCAGCAGGTTGTTTCGCAAACTTCAGGCCTTGCATCCGAAGTTTGCTCCGTGTTGCTACAGCTGGGGGAACCCGATGAAGCCCTCACACAGCTCGAAGCAGGCAGAGCCATGATATTGGGTTTTTCCATGGACAACACTGATGAAGTATCGGAGCTACAAGAAACCGACAAGGGCCTTGCAAAGGAGTTTTTGGACATCAAGGCGAAGTTGCACATCCCATCCGATCTTCAAAGCTCCAGTCTTGGAGAGGTTAGGCTACAAGAAAGGAGGGCTGCTGAAGCAGACCTTGTCAACTGCCTCGAAAAGATCAGAAATCTTGATGGTCATCAAGACTTCCTTCGTGAGCCTCCTGTTGATCGCTTGAAATCGTGCACTAAGGAGGGCATCGTCGTCTTGGTGAACACCAGTTACTTGAGAAGTGACGCCATCATTCTCGTCGGCTCTCACACACTGGTTGTGCCGCTTCCAGGGCTCGAGCTGCAGAAGGTAGTGGATTTCCGCGTGCAGTTGATTTCAGGATTTTCCACTGTGGATTTTCCTGTGAAGCGAGCTATCCAGATCGTCTCGAAGAAGGTTCCCAAACAGGCGAGACAGCCCTCGCCAGGCCTTGCAGGCTGGCTGTGGGACAACTGTGTACAACCCGTCTTTGACGAGTTGAGGCGGTACGGCACCATGCCTAGTGATGGCAAACCGCCTCGGATTTGGTGGATAGGATCCGGTAGCGCCGCAGGATTTCCTTTCCACGCGGCTGCATCGGAGATTCAGCCTGACCAGGACGCATTATCTCTGTCAGTTTCATCGTACACACCATCCATCAAGGCCCTGCTGTATGCCAAGCACCGTTCTGACCGGTCTCGGGCGCTGAGGATGAAGACAGATCAGGAAGAACTGGAGTTGACCATCATCACAATGGAAACAACACCCGGGAATCACGCCCCCCTTCCAGCAGTGCGGAAGGAGAAGGAAGTCATTGCAGATCTCACCAATGGCAAATGGAAATGCACACACCTACCTCAGCCAACATCGAATCTCGCTTTACAGGCCGTTGCCATGAGTGACATTGTCCACTTCGCTTGTCATGGTGTGGCAGATAGGGGCGACCCGTCACAGAGTCATCTTGTCCTCGAGAAGCCCACCAAAGATGGCAGCACCAAGGAAGCTGATGAACTCACGGTTCCCCAGCTTCTCGCCCTAAACAATCTCCAAAAACCCTGGATAGCGTTCCTCTCTGCCTGCACCACAGCTTCCATGGGGACCTTTCGCCTCGGGGACGAGGGCTTACATATGTCTGGGGCCTTGCAGATTGCTGGATTCTCTCATGTCATTGGATCCTTGTGGCCGGTGGAAGACGAGGTCGGCGTCGAAATTGCTCGTGCCTTTTACGAGAATCTGATTGGCGTTACACCCGATTCTGTTGATGATGAAATCGTGGCTTTCGCCCTGAGGGAGGCAGTGATCAAGGTCCGACAACATTATCCATGTTCTTGGACTAAATGGGCGGCTTATATTCACTCAGGAGCTTGAGCCGGAATGGGTTAACTCCTTCTCTTCCTCGTTTCCTTTTCTTTCGATGGCAAGGCGGGGGTTTCTTTTTTGATAACGACATTATTGAGACCATGGAAGATTGTAAACTAAACCATCACACAGATCGAATTCAATAGGAAGTGTTTCATCTAACAAATCTGTGCCTGGAGCCGCCTGTTGATATGGTGCACAGGGAGGCAATGAACGAAATTCCCCAGTACACCTCCTCTGATTACATCCTCCTAATACTCCGTGTCTGCTGCAAAAAAGTGGCCATGCCGGCTCCACGGATGGCAGCAAGACTCCGTAAGAAGCTCTGTTTCCACATTCTTCGGAGATTTCCATAATTTGTTCGTATACACCCAAGTTTGGTTGGCCCGTGATACGAAGCCCTTGTTCGCTTGGGATGTTTAGTGGCTTAGCATATCCAGGCACGACATGGGTTGTTGCTGGGATGGAGCATGATCGGCATTTGGAAAGGTTCCTTATTACTGTATCTGGATGCGTATGGCCGTGCTTGAAAATGTCACGATCGGCCAAGCGGTCAAGGCAAAAGCTGCGTAGAGCTGTATCGGAGAAATACAACGTGAAATGAGTTAATTAAGGGACGGACATCGGGAGATGGAAGTTGTCCGAGGGGTATGGTGAGCCCAACATATATAGACCTAGGACCTCCGCAAAGAAAATATCCTCATAGTCAGTCTATCCTGTTATCCCCGATCTCAACCTGCCCTCAAATCAGATTTGCAAAAATGGCTCCTCTCCTTAAGAGCATGTTGCTGCTCTCAGCTTTGAGTATAGTCACGGTAGATGGCACTCGGAAATCTTGGTCACAAACATTCTAACAGACTTGACAGGCAGAACAAATTAAATCCACTCAACCACTCCGAGGCGAGGCTTATGTCGGCCGTCCGGCTGTGCGGCACGCCATGAGACAAAAGACACGATATGAACCAGGCTCCCTAAGTGTTCACAGAGACTCTGGCAACACGCGCTCTGAGGACTTTGAAGCCCCTCTGGGAGTCAATCCTAAGGTCGAGGCGATCAAGATGGCACCTCCTTTCAACATGTTCTGGGACGAGGAGGGTCGAGTCTTGGCCGCCAATCAGTGTCGAGAAAACACCACTTGCATCGTCTCTCTTGACCCGGATACTTATGAGATCGAAGCAACCTATCCGGAGCCTGACCAGCCATCAGACCTATCCCAGACCCTGATGGTGTATATGCAACTGCTTGACGGCCATGTTACCACTTCAACGGCCAACCGCCATATTCTTGAGTTGGAGATTGTTGGTAAGGGAGCCAAGACGACTTTCGTCACCAAGCGTGATATCGATCTGTCCAACGTGACGTCGGCAAACGAACTCATTCTCAGCACCTCTTATGACTCGGATGGAAACCTATGGTTCACTACAGGAGGCTTTGCTGGCGCCGGCTTTCCTGCTGGCGACACGGCAACCCTTGGATATGTGGAACCAGGCGGCAAAGTGCACACCTTGAAGCTGCCAGACAAGATGATTGAAAACTCATTTGCCATCAGTGGGACGGATGTTTACCTGCTTACTGGACCAGCCGGGTCTGCTGACCATGCCGATGCATCCGGTTCCTTTTTATACATGCAGCCGAGTCCCGAAGGAGTCAAGGTCATCGCAGAGCTGCTATACGAAGCTGGAGATGGTATAAAGAAGGGCAGCATATCCCGAGGTGCTGGCTCTACTCCTTCACTTCTTGGTCACAAATACGTGGCCTTTACCGACAATGCGAACGACCAAGTCAACGTCATCGTCTACCCACAAGGCTCGGCTCTCACCAACAACACCAAACCACTCTGCACCGTCCCCCTCTTCGAGAAAGGCTCCAGCAGCAACGAGAACGCTGGAGTCAACCATTGGGATGGCAAGTCAACCTACAGCATGGTCTTTAGCAACTTCTACAACGGCCCCCCTCTCGCGCAGCTGCGGGACGCCCCGTTTGGAGATGGAACGGACTCAGACCCTGAGATCCTCAACGGGCCCTTTAATGATCTCAGTGCTGTGGGTCCTGGGCTTACTCGGGTTGATTTCGATGAGAGGACGGGCAAGTGCACTACCCGCTGGTACAACAAGAGCATTCGAACCACCATCACCCCCATCATGTCTACCAAGACAGGTCTCCTCTACATGCCTACTCAGGACTATAAACTGGCACAGAAAGGGAGCTACGTATATTACGTGAGCGCTCTTGATTTTGAGACGGGCAAAGAGGTATGGAAAGTTCGAACTGGTGCTGGCGGCGTTTTCAGCAATCACTTTCAGACGCCCGTGCTCACAAAGGATGGAGGTGTTGGCCACTATGTTATTGGCGGCTTTGTTAAGGTCAAGGATGGCAAAAAGCCCAAAGGTACAGGCCATTAGGGACAGTGGCTGGAGATAACTCTATTCAACACGTTGGTATGATCTTCAGAAACAAGACGTCCCATGCTGGGTGGCTGTATTTACTATTCTATTCATCATGGTGTCCTTTCGTTAGGGGGGACATGGGCACGGTTAATGTAGATAGCATAAAAGTTTCAAGTATATAGTACCCCCTATGGGAAGATCACAATATCTTTAGAAATCTCGGCATGTTTTGTGGCCCGAGGTCTATAGTTACATCTACCATATAACGTTATGTGGGAACTTTTGCCCGGAGAGACGAACTCCGGTCTCAACGAGCATTGGACCGGAAGTCGGCAACGGATTTCAAATGCCCGTGGTCCACATTAGAACCCCGAAACAACACGGAGCATATGTAGGTCTCAGTAACCCTGCCATCTATCAAGTGCCGTGACTCGTAAATTGCCGAAATGTCAAGCAAGGCGCAGATCACCTCTATTTATGGTCTGAAAATCGGCCTCCCGGGCTTAAACAAACCGAATAGTCCGCGGACTACAGAAACCTCCATGGACAATTGTATCAAGGGCTTCTTTTGAGAGATATTTGGAGAAGGATCTGCAAGTGCCGTTTAGATATAAGAAGGGAGCGTAATTTCGTTACTCATCCTTCCTCTGTATCAATATTCAGACTTTGAAACACCGTTGCAATGGCCGTTCTGTCTGTGTTTTCTTCACAGCTGGCCAGTTTTACAGCCGTTGCTGTGGCCCTGTCACTCACTGTAAGGACGTCTTCCGAATCATGGATATTCTTGCTGATAGTAATCCCATTAGGTTGTGCTTTATTTGTCCCTACGTGGCGCCTACTATGCATTCTTCCACCCCCTTGCAAAGGTCCCAGGCCCAAAACTCTACGCTGCTTCTTCGTTACCATACTATCTCCATCTACTCCGTGGCGACTGGCATCAGAGTCTGAAAGAGATGCATGACCGCTATGGGCCTGTCGTTAGATTTGCCCCTGCAGACATCTCCTTCATCACCGCCACCGCCCTGAAGCAAATTTACGGACACAAGTCTAGCTTGGACGCGACCTTTGTCAAGGACCCCCCTTTCTATCACAGAGGCATGAAAGATCCCACCATCATAAACGCCAATCATGAGGACCACAAGCGTTTCCGACGACTCTTATCACATGCCTTTTCAGAAAAGGCACTTCGCAGTCAGGAAGACATTCTGAAGCTATACATTGACAAATTCATCAACCGGCTCGCGCAGAAAGCACACGATGGAGTGGCTGTCGACCTTGTTTCCTGGTATAATTTTGCGACCTTTGATCTGATTGGGGATCTCTCCTTTGGTGAACCCTTTGGTTGTCTTGATAGTGGTGGCTATCACCCTTGGGTCCGTCTCGTCTTCCAACACGTCAAAGCGATTCCCTACAGACAAATTGCCCAATATCTCAATATGGGCTTCCTCGTCCCTTACCTTACGCCAAAACGCCTAGTCAAGGCCTCTAAGCAGCACCTTCAACTGAGCCGTGAAACAGCCATGAAAAGGGTCGCAACCACCACCGACAGAGCAGACTTTATTTCCTACATCCTCCGCCACAATGACGAAAAGGGAATGTCGGATGGTGAGATCGCTGCTAATTCGCACATTTTGATTCTTGCCGGAAGCGAAACAACTGCTACTCTGCTCAGTGGTGTTACATTCCAGCTTCTCAAGAACAAGGCGAAACTTGACAAACTGATCTCCGAGATCCGGTCCAGTTTTGATGCTGAAGATGAAATTACGCTGGAGCGTGTTAATCAACTGAGTTACCTTCTGGCTGTCCTCAACGAAGGACTTCGCATCTGTGCGACGCCTACCTTGATGAGTATCATTATTTCTAACTCTTCACAGATCCCCCCGTGCCAACCGGTCTACCAAGGCTTGTTCCTTCAGGAGGTGAGATTATGGAGCGGTTTTGGATACCCGAAAAGGCAAGTCCCTGCAAACGATATCGCCATACATTTGTTAATCTTTGAGCCTTAGACACGAGTATCGGTGCCTCACTGGGCAGCGTTCCACAGCGAGTCCAACTTTCGTGATGCTGACAACTTTGTTCCGGAGCGCTGGCTTGGTGACATTTCCTACACCAATGACTCCAAAGACGTGCTTCAGCCGTTTTCTACAGGCCCCAGGAACTGTATTGGAAAGAAGTAAGTCGACCCGCTCGTTACAGCAATGGCTCCGGATGCTGATCTGAATAACCAGCCTGGCTTACGCTGAAATGCGCCTTATTCTTGCTCGACTGCTTTGGAAGTTTGATCTCGAGATACTTGAAGATAGCAAGGATTGGGATAGCCAGAAATCCTTCTTGCTCTGGGAGAAGGGTGCTCTGCTTGTTCGATTGACCGAGGTCATCCGCGATTGAGGAAGAGGCTGTGCACAGGGAGAGCTCTAGATATCACCTTGTGTCAAGCAAGCGAATCATTATTCAGATACACAGTGAGGGACATAGCTATGAGACATGCATTGAGGCCACCCAAATTCCAAGTCGGTGTGTTTTCTGATTAGGCTTTCATCCCCGGATGTTTCAATGAATGTGTTTGACAGGGAGGGCGACCTGCTGCTCGGCATTGACATATTTTACAAAGGCGTTCAGCTACATCGTCATCTTATTCATCATCGTGGCTAATGGTACGCGTTTATCTAACTTAATATGCAGTATACATTGGTAAATAAAAGCGCTGACCAAGTACGTGTGGGTAAAGAGTTGGTTTTACTAGGTACGTCACCATGTAGAATATCCATGTCCATCCAAAGTTCCTAAGCTTCAGGCTTCCTCCCGTAAATTGCACGGCTAGTCGATCGTCAGCATACTGAGAAAACAAGACGGGAAAGGGGAGAGTACATGGACCAGTAGGCGTGGATTCTCGGATTGTTCAAATCCTTCCTAGCCTCGACGAGGAAAACACTAACTTCCTCAGGAGTCCAGCCAAGGCACCTCGTAAACAAGGCCATGGAAAGACCCTCGAGAAGATCGTCTGTGTTGAACTTGCTCCACTCTCCAAGTTCCTTGAACCTCTTCTCCTTAGGCCAGCGATTTATCGGCCATTTGAATGGAACTTCCTTGATGTCAACGAACCCAACCTCGGCCATGAGGTTCTTCAGTTGGTCGATCTCCAGGAAAGGAGTTCCGTGCTCTTTAGCAGCTTTATCTAGAAGAACATTCCATTTGCGGAGAGCGTGGTCTTCGGTAAGAGTGTTGTCGTCTGACTTCATGAATGCATCGACGTCTTGGAACTCGGCATAACCACCCGGTGCAAGGTTTCTAGTTATTGAAATTAGTGGTTGCTGAATTGTCAGCCAAATCGTAGGATGACTTGCTCATAAATCTTGCGCAGATACTCTGGCCAGTTCTTGACAGAGACGTTCATCATTCGGCTGTGAATGTAGTCAAAAGGCTGATGATAAGTCCACTCTTCGTCGATGTCGTCAATCTCAAACTTGACATTCGGGGGAACACTGCTCAAGTTTAAGTTTTCATTCATCTTTCACGTGCGAACTCATCTCATACAATTCCGGTTGGGTAGGGGACAGATCGATGCCTATGACCTGCGCAGGATGTTACTCTTGGTCGCTTCTTGAGATGGTCGCTCTCGCCTCAGTCTCGGGATGCTCGTCAGCATAGTCAATTGCCCAGATGCCTGTCCCAGTACCCAAGTCGAGAACCCGGCCGGTCTTGAATTCGGGAAGGTTCGGCGGAGAGAGACCAAGTTTGTTGTCAAAGGTCAGGAGGAACAGATTGTGCTGCAAGTCTGAGAACACATGTGAGGATCCCGGACTTTGGAGTGAGGTCTCATATTACCTAGTCTGTTGTTTTCTGTTTCATCATTGGGCATATAGTATTCTAGAGCGTGTGAGATGGCTCCGACGTTGGGAACAAATATGTGCAACTTACTTCCGTCCTTGTATGCGTGGTATGTTCGCCCATTCTCCGATCGATAATTCAAAATCGAGCTGCTCACGCTCGCAGTTGATGATGAAACGTCCTATGCCGTCGTTTTTATCAGCAAGTGTGCTCCTTCACAGCACGTCAGAGTAGGTAGGCAAGATGCCATCCATGCTTACATCACCAATTGACGAGTCAAGATCGTCGTCAACCTCGATTGAGGGTCAGTTCATGTTTGTATCGTTCTAGAGAAGTGGTTCTACATCAACGAGAATGACAGGGCCTGCATCGGAGGTGGCCATCTTGTCAAGCATGGAATGGCCTCTGATGGGCAGTGAGTTCCTTGGTCGCGAAGTGAACGTTGAGGTTGGAGGATTATGCTTCAAGGATGGACCAGCGGTCAATTTTATCATTTAATACCGCTGACCCCCCTTGTCTGTCACTTCAAGCAGGGGCCAATAATGCTTGGATTAGGTGTGGTGTTGTTCTCTCTCCTCTCATCAGCAGCATGTGCTCCACCAACAACCAACAGCAACTTGTTGACTCTCTGGGATCAATCAGGCGTTTGGAGAGTGGCTACGGCTTCTCATTGGTGGAGGTTGCACTTGAATAACGAACGACAAGCATAACAGCGGAAAACTGGCCTGCTTCCGGAGTATCCGTCCGTATATGTATGTACTCGCGTCAGACACGTCACATCATGGGGGAAATGTTGCAGGCATGCAGCGGAACCGGGGTCTACTTCCGGACAGTGGACCGGCTTTATTTGGAGTATTTATTAATGCCGACCACCGTGATATAACTTTAACACCTTCATAGCAACATGGGTTTGATGTGGTAAAAGTATTTCATGCTCATCCCTCTGTTACGCAACTCACCTCATGATTCAGCTATTCAAGACAGTCACTTAATGTTCGAACCTTGTGCCGCGTAAGAATGCGGGACTGGCTACTAGCAACATTCTAAATCATGGATCGTCTTTCCACCAACTTCCAATACCTAGGTGCCAGCGCTGTACGGATTCTCTTACCCCAGATAATCATCGGGACAAAGAGCAACCCAATTGCAAAAGCAATGCAGCCACTGAGGATATGCATATTGGTCAAGCCCATGGTTTTCATCCATGGAACTAAAGCGAACGGCACTGCAACCGAGACGGCATTCCGGAGAAAGGCCACACCGATGAACGCTTCTGCCGTGAGCTGCATGATTTTGCATGTGAGCCATGTTCTCGTCATATCGATGCAAGAGGACTTACCTCACGATATGTATCGACGATGAGAGTAAAAGTGATGTCCCCGTTTGCTCCAAGTCCAAAAGCAAAGAATGCGCCTCCAATGGATGGGTATATCCAGTGCATTCCCTAGGCAGGTGTCAGCATACTTGGATTCTCTCTTGAAATTGACTCACTCTGTCAGCGGTAACGCCAAACATGATTATACCACCAGCCATGACGACAGTTGGGACAACAAGAGGGTAAAGCCTCATCTCAGGCTCAAAGACGCCACCATTTCGATGCGCGAGTCGCACAATGACCCAGTCAGACAAAGGTCCCCCGTAGATACTACCAAAGATGTTGCCGACAAAGGGGCCCAATGTCATGCATCCGATGCCAAGCGTTGTAAAGTTGTACGGCGGCTGCGGAAAGATGATGGAGACAACAGACATGTAAAGAACAAGCCAGCACACGCCAGATGCGAACTGCAGGGCCGTAAAGAAAACATGAGGAAGAGTGATGACGTGAAGCGGAATAATAAAAAGATGCGGAAAAGACTCTGGAGTAGGTGTGATGAAACGAAGGCGCTGCCGCCATGTGTTGACTGGGATTGTAGAGTCGATGCGCGTCACAGTGGTCATAGTAGCATATCCGTCTACTTTGAGATCCTCTTTGTCATGTTGGTGTGATTGATTCGAAGATGTGGCAACCAAAGATGTAGAAACATTAGTTTGGCCAACCAAGACGGGAACAAACTTGGTCTCTTCAAATAAAAAGAGAAATGCCACAAATAGAGCTGTCATGGAAATGGAGAGTGCGTAGTAAGACCAACGCCAGCCTTGTTCTGCCGCCTGAGAGCCAGCAGCGAGAGGTGTCAGAAAAGAGCCTACCATGACGGCGGTAAAGTAGACAGCGTTGGCTGAGCCACGCTGGTGGACAAAGAATAGATCGGCAATCTAACCAAGAGTTAGGGAGGCACCTGACGAATCAAGTGGTGACACCTACAGTCATTTGAACGGATGTCTCATTGATGGCTCCAGCCAGGCCGGTGATTATCGAAGTTAGAATCAGCTCGGTGTAGGAAGAAATAGAGGATGTCCACCACGATACAGCGGCTAGAGCTGCCGTTGAGAAAACATAAGTCGATCGGCGACCATACTTGATTGTAAGCGGGATGAAAAAGATGCAGCCCATGGCCAGTCCAGCCAGTTGGGCTGATTGGGCGTGGGTAAGCTGGGTGATTGTAACCCCCAGGTCGACGGTCATCTGCTGCCAAAATACAGTCTGGATGGACAGATTGGTAAAGGCGGCGACGGTCACGGCGATGGTGAGGCCATAATTGAAGCACTTTCTCCAAGTGCTCCAGTTCTAGTCAAGTCAATGAGCGTACATGGTTGATGTTTACAGTTTATCAGTAGAGGCTCACTAGTGGTTCATTTGGGTCGGATGATGGAGTTGGAGAGAGCATAAAGGTTGAGACACCGGTAGACTCTTCCGGCTCTGGATAATGAACTCAGTATAGGAAGGCAGTGGTAGCATGGGACCCTTACGCAGCACCAACCGGACCGTGCCGGGAGGGGTAGCAGCTCTTGTTGTCATGATAAGAGAGCTAGTGGAACTTTTACGAAAAGGCGAGACTGTTGTTGTTTTTCGTGGAGCTTGATCCAAACCCAGAGGTTGGGTGCTGCCCTGTTTATAGATTAGTATCTGAGACCAAAAGCAAGGCCTTTCGAGTATGTGCACACATGCTCTTTAATTTGTATGCAAGGAGGGGCCTTAACTAGCCCTTTTACAGACCCGAGGTCTCGGACGTGTGAAGATAAGCTGGTCAACAATTGAAGTTGTCTCGACCCACGGTCGCAAACTCAGGGGTTGACGCAGCCACGTTGATACTGCAGCTGCATGTCGACAACAATACCGATTCTGGGGAAGAAACAAAAGTATCATCAACCTATACCCGATTAGCTCGACTCCATTTCCTGTCAAACCCCTACCTCACCTTTCTCTTCTAGGGGATCTTCCTCAAGGTTCCAGATTCTTGATAACCAAGCCACCCTGTCAGGTGGTGATAAGCCCCATGGCACCAGACCTAAAGCAGAAGCTGGATGCGCCCCCGGCTCCATCTTCCTCTTTCGTCTATAAACTCCACGGATCTCCGGGAACGACGCGTCGTTGGCGGCTCCATCCTCTCGATCCAAACATTCCCCTCCCCCCACCCCCCAGACCAAGGCGACCGAATCTCGCCTACTGTACCCTCCCTTGCCCCCCCCCCTTCTTCCCCAGAGGAAATGATGGCCCGTTCCCGCGGGGGATGTCTCAACTGTAAACGGCGAAAAAGGAAATGCGACGAGACGCGCCCAGGCTGCCAGGCTTGCGAGAAGCGGGGGATCATCTGCGAGGGCTATGCCACGCCCTTGCGTTGGGCGAATGGCATCGCCTCGAGGGGCCGGTTCGCAGGCGCGTCGGCCCCGGAACCTTTCGTCGGAGGAGCTAGCAAGGCTCCGGCAGATGATGGAGACAGTGCCGGGCAGTCTTCCCCAAACTCGACCTCTACCCCTGGCCACGCCGGCTCCGTCGCCGCTCTCTCTGACCTATCACCGACCTCGACCTCGACCGTATCCGATACGCAGGAGCAGGTGTTCAAGAAGTGTTGGACCTCCCCCTCTACCCCCCGAGGTAAATGCTTGCTAAGGTTTGGCTAGTTCTACATTCTGGACTACATCGGCTGTACACCACGGAGCAGCACTGCTGGATCCAACCCTTCTTTGAAGAGATGGGAAGGCAGAGCCCTGCTCTGGTCGTCATCTCGGTTGCTATCCAGGGCTACCTTGATGACCGCGCCCGGGGCCTGTCGGTGGCATCCATGGAACGGGTCGGCCTGGCCCTGCAAACCTTCCGACAAGAGCTCTCCGACCGTCATGAGAAGATGCATACCGCCACTGTCTGTGCTGGTCTGTTGGTCTGTACCATTTGTGTAGGTCCCCAGCGTTTGCCCATACTTCCTTGCTCTCCCGCCTATATCACGTCCTACAATTCGCATCTTGGCTGACAGCGATATCTATGCAGCTTTTCCAAGCCCACCCATGGACCATGTACATCGATCTAATGGTGAACGTCTACGAACTACGACATAAGCTGACCGTCCCCGGTCTAATACCGATAGAAGACTTGGGCACACGTCATGTCTTGGAGGTGATGGGTATAATGGATCTCCCATCGATGGCTATTGGCCGATCGGGCCAATCCGTGGGAGTGTGGAAGCTCCTCCGCAAGCTTCAAGACACCCGAAAGGAGGGGAGAGTCGATGGGATCGAGGTCGCAACAGGCATGCCCATGTCTCTGCTGGACATATTCGCGAGTATCCTCGACAATGACGTCGAATATACCGAGAATAGGCTTTGGACCTGGCCAGGGCAGCTTGGCGAGTATCTACAGTGTCATCTGTGGGACTGTTGGAGGTTCTCGGCTATTCTCGAAGTCCGGCGTCGATACAGGCTAGAACGGAAGCAAAAGGGAGTCGAGGTCAACAACGATCAAGGCTCTGCAGCGGTTCCCAACACAGAACTGATCCTCTGCCGACTCATGTCATCAATGGACGCCCTACACCGAGCATTCGAGTTGCCACAGAACCAACATCTCCTGGTTCACAACGGACTAATGTACCCTCTTGTCACTGTCAGCCTCGAGGTGCCCCTTCTACAAGACCATCCAGACTGGAAGCACACTCTCGATAGTGTGCGAGCCACGTTTCAAGAGAGGGATACTTTTAACCTGATCAACGTGATATTCGATCTTTTAGACGAAGCGTGGCAGACTGGTACTTCGACTTTTGACATTGAAGAGGCGGCACGTCAGCGGGGAGTTGAGATTGCTCTTTTCTAGGGAATTTGGGACCAAGATATTATATAGGGGCGTTTTTGAAGGGAAATTGCATGGACTTTGGGATACCATATATGG